AAAAAATACCTCGTTTCAGCCGTCGCAAACTACCGCGAGATCCGAACATATATAACGGCCGTTCGCATCCCGCCATTTAGGACGTTCCGGAACGCACTTGCAGCACTTCCAAACAAATTTTCTCACATGGAATCAAAAAATTCAATCCATCGCCTCCTCTCCGCTGAGCAGGAGACCTCCATCATCGTGGAGGCTCTCATCCACGTCGTCTCCGGCAACCCCGACCCCGCCGCACCGACAATCTCCTTTCCCCTCGCCGTCAGCTGCAAGCTATGCCGCATCGACGGCTGCCTCGGCTGCGATTTCTTCTTCGAAATGGCGATGGCAAATGGGAACGGGGAATTGAAGAGGAGGCCGAGGAGGCAGAAGAAAAGCAAGTATCGAGGAGTTCGACGACGACCGTGGGGGAAATGGGTGGCGGAGATTCGTGATCCACGACGAGCTGGGAAAAAGTGGCTGGGGACATTTGATACGGCAGAGGAGGCTGCTCGCGCCTATGACAACGCTGCGATCGAGTTTCGTGGCGCACGGGCTAAGCTTAATTTCCCGGATGTGGATCGGATAAGTCAGATTATGCACAACTGCAACGACGGTGGCGGTGGCGGTGGTTCAGCTCAAGGCTGAGGAGGAGATGAACACCTTCTAGGATGAGTTGAAATTAAAGTGCTACAAATGATTTTATAGTATGAGTTGAGTCGAGTGTAAATCACCTTTGATTTTAACGTGAGCTATATTAATTAATCCAGTTTGTGCTTCAACTTGAGTTTAATTCCATGAGTTCTAGACAACTCATAAGCCAACTTATTTAATATGAAATAGAAAAATTAATTTTAATTACAAATATTATTATAATAAAATCGCCGGTGGTTTTTGGACCGCCGAAAAATCACCGGTAATTTACTAAACAGACAGAAATCTTAGATAAACTGCTGGAAAAAACCGCCGGTAAAATCTGAATTTCCTATAGTGACAGTCCCTCCAACCTCTGTCGCATGTCGACCACGGTCCCTCTGACCTTCGTCGCCCGATGACGATCATACCGACCAAATAAACATTTCAATTAACACTCTCTTAATGACAACTCACATATCATTATATTCTTCTAACTCCAATCACACCATATAATAAGCTCTAAATGTATGTGTGATATTCGTTTAATAAGCGACCTGTTAAAAGTTTTTAAGAAAGCAAACATCAATTATATATGTAATTACTTTTTTTATTATTTAATTCATTTATTTAAATGATGAATTATTATCAATCCACCCAAAAACTTTTAGCCAATGGTCTTTAATCCTTTCGCTTTGTGTTCACATTTAGCTCTTTAGTTGTCAGCTCTTCATCGTCTGAACGTCAGAAGAAATACCAAACCGAGAAACAAACTCCGCGTTTCAACCGTCGCAACGCACCGCGCGAACCAAACACAAACAACGGTCGCTCCCATCTCATCATTCTCCGGCCACGTTTCAGAAACTCCAGTTACGGCACTTCTATCACTTTCCAAACAATTTCAACCATTCGCCTCCTGTCTGCTGAGCAAGAGACCTCCATCATCGTGGACTCTTTCATCACGTCGTCTCCGGCAAGCACGACGCCGCGGGCCGCACCAACAACCTCCTTTCCGCTCGCCGATAGTTGCTAGCTATGACCACCACAAGTTGTTTGGAAGTGGTCGGGGATAGAGGTGTAAGCAAGTTAAGTCGAGTCTGAGTATTTCTCTGATGGAGCTGAGCATATTTAGTTCTTATAACTAAACTTGAGCTTAAGCTTGTTAAAAAGTTTATAGGCTCGAGGCTCGATTGCTCGAGCTCATTTGGAAAGCTCGAGTTTAACTCAGTTGTAGGGCTTAATTTTTTAGTTTTAAATTAAAAAATTGATTTTTTTACAAATTTTATTTTTTATATCTATAATTAATTTATATAATGCGAATCAATCGGATCAAGAAGCTTTCGAGCCGAACCAAGCTGAGCTCGAGCTCAAACTCGAGTATAGGCTCGAACTCGAATTCGTGGCTCGATAAGCTCGACTCACGAGCTCATTAATGAGTCGAGCTCAAGCTGAGTTGGCTCACCAGCTCGGCTCACTTACACGCCTAGTCAAGGGAATTCGATTTGGTCGAACAGGCTACATACACCTATGAAAATAGTGCGATAAAGTTTGGTAGTGCTCTAGCTAAGTTTAGTTTCTCAATTGTGTACCAAGTTCAAAACTAGATTGCACCTACAGTGACGATGGCATCAGTTCAGTTCAGCTCAGGATTGAAGGAGGGATGACAGATCCAAGGATGAGCTGAAATGTTTAAATTAGGGGTGTCAATAAATGAAATGATCCGTCAACTTGGCTCGAATAAGACCCAAAAATTTTGAGTTTTAGTTGAGTTTATTGTCCAGTTTATTAAATGGGCAAGGCTCAAGTTGACCCACAAATCCGCTTTTGACAAAAAGATGACCCCAAACATTTTTTTTTCTTAATAAATTTTCCCTTATTGGGAATGGTTGATTAGCAAATATCTTAATCCTTTAAATAAACTTATTAGTTATGGTAATGAAATGATTGTAGTGATATTTTTTATCGAATATGAGGTAGTGATATGAAATTGAATTAAATTTTGGAGCTATTTGGTTGTAAACTTAGATATTTAAGCTATGCATTTAAAGAGATAAAATACTTGATTAATAACTAGATGCACCTGAAAAAAGAACCTATAGTAAAAATAATACACTATACAAAATATAATTAAATATTTTAAAATATTTGGATAAATATAAAATAAATGCATGTAATCAGTTTTTAAATTTTTGACTTAAATAAAATGAATGCAATATAAAGCCTGATAATGGGGGTGACCAGTAGGGCGGCGATGCTGCAGTGGGCGAAGATTGGCAATTGGTGGTAGCAGTGGGCAGCCAACGTCAATGGCCGATGCATGTGGTGGTGGGCGTCGGCCAGCGCTGACGGTGGCAGGGACTGACGTCCAATGACATCAGTGGGTAGCGGTAGCTAGGGGAGGCAGTACTTGTGCATGGCAGTGAGGGTGATAATAACAAATAAATTATAGTGTGTTTGAAACTTAGCTAAATCTAACATTTTGTAAATATACTGAAATCGAGCTAGAGTTCGAATTCAACGTCAATGGCCGATGCATGTGGTGGTGGGCGTCGGCCAGCGCTGACGGTGGCAGGGACTGACGTCCAATGACATCAGTGGGTAGCGGTAGCTAGGGGAGGCAGTACTTGTGCATGGCAGTGAGGGTGATAATAACAAATAAATTATAGTGTGTTTGAAACTTAGCTAAATCTAACATTTTGTAAATAAATCGAAATTGAGCTAGAGTTCGAATTCCTAATATTTCAAAATTTTGCGGTGTGTTTCTTTTATTTTAATCAATACTAATGTTTTAAAAAATATCCATTTTATTTCAAAACGAACAACTCCTTGGTATCAAAGGGAGAAAAGTATATTTTGCGAACTTATAAATTCGTGGCGGTAGAATGAGAGTTTTTTTTTCTCAGCAATGTATGAATATCCAACACACAAATAGATAGTTGAGAGAGTAAGAAAACACCAGAAAAATTTTTATATGGAAAACCCAACAAAGAAAAAATCATGTGGCCTTGCCCAGGTGAGAAGTTTTCACTATATTTGAGTGAGTTATGAAGGTTGCTCATCCCTTAAGTTGGAGACGATGAAATTATAATAGTTTGGAAAGTCGATCAAATATTCAGAAGTTTGTAATGATTGTGATCGAACGAAGGTGGCAGTGGCCAAGAGAAGGTCCAATAGAGGTCGGGTGCTGGCTGAGGTCCGAGATCGGTTGGGCAATTGGCAAAGGTTTGACAATGGTCGACAGCTTGACAGAGGTTTAGCGGTGGTCTCTGACCAACTGGAGGTTCGACGACGATCAGGCAGAGGTCCAACTGTGGCAGGTGGCCAGGTGGAGGTCAGGTGACCATCGACGGTTAGGCGGAGGTCCGACGACAACTGGGTGGAGCTCTAGTAGTGGTTGGCCATCAGAAGTTCACATGCGATAGTGCTTGGGTACATCTCTTAGATCCTTGAAGCCTCAGAGCCCTCTCCAATCTTTAACCTCAAATGTCCCCCTCATGTTGGGAGTACTGGCTTATTTACATATTTTTGTGAGTGATATGTTCCTTAAGCAAAGAGAAGATAAGGAGCAATTTTTGAGTGCTCAATCGGACGGCTCATACTGATTCCCTTGATCATAAAATATTTGTTCAATACTTAAGTGCCTTAATGATTTCAAAATTAAATGATCTTAGAATTGTTGGAATTGTTTGGTCAAAACGCATGATTCAACTTTAAGCATTAAATATTTAGATATCATTTGACAATATGATTAATATCAAAAAACTTTCAAGCATGCATTAAGCCATTGATTTAGATCCATTTGGACTCTGAATGGACTCATCTTACCGTCGTTTGGCTCGTCACGTTGAGATGTTCAAATTGGCCATAAATTTGTTGATATAAGAGTTTGGATGATCCCAAATTTAATTTTTGGAAGTTTCTACCTTAGACTTGCATCAAGATTTATGCCCGATCAAAATTATTTTTGGTGACAAATCAATATTAAAATAATTAAAATAACGGCTTGGTAAAGTAATCAGCCTTATATAGCTCACCTTGGCCTGTTTGTTGAGAGCTTATGCTTCCAACTAAGAGGTCTTGGATTCGAGTCTTTGTGTATGTGTTGTGTGTATGAATTTGCCTTAAATGACCCAAATGTCCCAAAAAAAAAAAAAAGTAAACGGCCTTTGAAGTTTTATAATAATAATTTTTAAAACATTTACACATCCGTCGATTTTTATTTGAAAATAGAAGCGCACGTTTATTTTGAAGAGCTTTAAAAAAATACCTTAAAAGCATGTTCAATTACTTTTTTTCAGGTAGACATATTCAATTACTTATTTAGTGGCCTTACTTAGCTCTTTAATTGCCAGCTCATCATCGTCCCAACACGCCACCTGCCTGCTGTTTCATCCGAGGAAACACTATAAAAAAAACCTCCCGCGTTTCAACCGTCGCAGATTACAGATGCCTCCACCATATAAATCACAAACGCTCTCCTGCTTTCAGAAACTCCGCTTCCCCTACTAACCGAACAGTTTTCCTCACATGGAATTAAAACCTTCTACAAGACGCCTCCTTTCCGCAGAGCGAGAGAACTCCATCCTCGTGAACTCTCTCATCCACGTCCTCTCCGGAAAGCACGACTACGCCGCACCGGCAATTTCCTTCCCCCTTGCCGATAATTGCAAGCTATGCCGCGTTGAGGGCTGCCTCGGCTGCGATTTCTTGCAAGAGTCGGCACACGGGAGTGGGGAATCGAGGAAAAGGTTGTGCGCGAAGAAGAAGAACAAGTACCGGGGAGTTCGACGGCGGCCGTGGGGGAAATGGGCGGCGGAGATTCGTGACCCGCGGCGGGGGATTAGGAAGTGGTTGGGGACATTCGATACGGCCGAGCAGGCTGCCAGTGCCTATGATAAGGCTGCGATAGAGTTTCGCTGCGCTCGGGATAAGCTTAATTTTCCAATTGTGGATCAAGTTACAGTCGATTCCAGTGGTCGATCGACAAAATCAGATTGCAGCGGCAGCGGTAGCGACGACGATTCAGCTCAGGAACGAGGAGATGGGGCTGCGATGAAGTTTAATCAAAGAGGATAAAATAGTAAGAATTATTTGATTAACATGCTTGATATCTTGATGATTAAGAATTACTCTAAATGATTTCAAAGTCAGTTTTTACTTTTGTTCATGAAAATTTTGATCTTTGGGTGTATAGTTTCTCTAATTTTTTGTTATTTTATTTTGAGGTATTTTCATACATAGCACTCAAAATTTTGAAAGACTATTCTGTGCGGACGTCGACTGCCGTTCGGAGATCAATCTGAATGCGCCACATCACTCAGTGCTCGGCACTGCTGATGTGACACATTCTGTTTTGCCTCCAAATGGCATTCTGCGTCTGCTCTCAGCACATAATAATATCTCATTTTACTATTTAATCAAAAAGCCATCAAAGTATTAAGAAAAATAAAAAATTACACCTTACTTTCATTAAAATTCCTAATTTTGTCATCATGCAGCCCAATCTTACGTCGTTATTCACAAATCCTCTTGCACTCATGGGAGCTTGCAAAGAAGACAACAATGGAATCCCCTCCTGACAACCTCTACGCTCTCTCCTATTTTTCGCTCATGGGAACTCGCATGGAGAAGATTCATGGGATCTAGGTCCATGTGGTTTGTGGGAGAAATTATTATATGCAGATATCAGATCGTTTGGAGGCGAATCAGAACGTACCATGTCACCCGGTATACAACCATGGTACGTAGCAAACATGTGGCAGTTGTATATCGGGTGGCGTGACACATTCTGATTCGCCTCCCAACGGCGTCCGTATCCGCACGAAATAATTTCACGATTTGTGGAGGTGCCCTCCACAAGTCCAGCACGACACGTCGAAAATTAAAAAGTTCTAAATGAGCTTACATGGAGAAAGAGTAGACAGACTCAATGAGGGAGCTAGCGAGATCCTTCATGGAGTCAACAAGGTTGCTACAGTATATAAATAATAAAATTTATGCATTAAATATAAAAATCTGAATGTGTTGAGTATTATGTATGTAAATCCCTCCATAAGATAAAGTAGCAAACATCAACTTTGGCAATAATCAAATAATTATCAGCCAATAAAATTTACCACTCAACTTAGGATTAAAAATGATTGCATCCCTCACTATATTTGTCTATTTGAGATTTTGTGATCAAATAAAATTTATCCCAATCTTTTTCGAGCTCCTTACATATTACAAATCTACCATATAAATTTATAGTTGTGTACAATAACATAAAATATTTTATGGATATAATATTAACATTCTATACAACACTAAACAGATAAGATAGAAAATGATCATTTTTAAATTTCAAATAAAATTATTTAGTTAAGACTAATGATGTTGAATAAAGTTATAGGGTCAATGATTTATCATTACATATTGCAAGACTTCTTTTATATAGTAATATAATTTTTATTTATTTGTGTGTTTTTAGCTCTCAATTTGGATTGGGTTATTTCACCTACTTTTCAATAGAAGCATTAAAAGAGGCTAAGGAAAGAGTACTACATGAGCTTGAGGTTACTAATAGGTTCAAAGAAGGAGAAATTATTACGTGCGGAGTTCAGATGCTGGACTCGAAGAAAATCAAGCCATGTGTCTTATACCCCAAAGAAGAACTAAGGTAGAGACTCCAAGCTGCTGATGAGATGGAACAAGAAATTGGAAAAGAGGCCCTGCTTGTATGGAAAGAAGTTGAGGAAGGAATGCTGAAGAGAAGCCTAATTCATAAAAAGCAGCTCTACCTTTCACCATCAAAATTTTATATTTAAGGCAACACATATTAGTAGTACTTTTAAACCTGATGATAATTTTAATACTTTGTACCACTTGATACGTCACTAAAAATTACCTTGATCAAGCACGAATCTCAATACATATTTGAATTAAAAAATTTCAAAATTAAATTTGGGATCATCTAAACTGCAATCTTAGTGAACTTATAGTCACATTGAATGTCTCAACAAGACAAACCCAATGACATTAAAATCCGTCCAGTCCAAGCTCAAATGGGCTCAAATCAAGGGCTTTAAGCATATTTGAAAACTTCATAGCATTAATTGGTGCCCAAATAATCTCCAAATTAGACATACTTATAGCCGAATAGTAGCTCGAATAAACGAATCCAACGAGTCCAAGATCACTCAATTCTGACATCATTAATACACATAAATGTTGAATAAATGGTTCATGAACAAGGGAATCAATATGAGTCGTATGATCGAGTATTTTCGATTCTAATTCATATTACCAAAATGGCCACACAAAAAACTATAAATAAGACCTCATTCTTCACATGAGGGGGGAGAATAAAGAGAACTAGAGATAACTCTTGTATTTTCCAATCATTGTCGCTAACGACTACCACCAGTTATTGTCATCAACAACCACCATCAGTTATTGCCACTGATGATCGACACTAGAAATTACCACCATATCCATAATACTGACAATATTTAACCTTATTGTTAGGAATATATGATCACTTGTGGGCATCTACTTTATATGATCCCTATTGAGAAAATCAAACCATGCTGTTGGGAGTTAACTGTCCCTCTATAGACACTTGATTTTTATAATCTCCCTTAGAGATAATAAAAAAATTTATTTAAACCCCATCTTCTTCAACGGTGAAGAAAAGAGGATTCTTGTATCACTTACTACATAATGAATTTTTCAACTGGGTCAGACCCTATGATTTTTTACCTTTCCGGATTTCCCATGTAAAAAACATTCGATCTTATTTCTTTTATTTATGCGTGTTAAATTTTTGCACAATGCTGAGATGTAAAATATATACTCTGCTGACTCAAATTTTTAGCACGATTTTTTTAGCACGCAACAATTTGATGCCGTATGTGGGAACTTTCCCAACATTCTTTTTCAATGGCTAACAATCAATCACAAAATCAAGAACAACAAAATGTGATCAAAACCTCTAAATCTAAACTATTTACGTCTACTATCATACTAAAGACACCTACGTTACACTAACTAAAACTATTTTGTACACAAAGAATACATGCTGGAATATACATGAAAAGCCCCCAAATAAGGAGTGCAATAAAAGAAGTGGGCAAAAGGGCACATCACAAGCCAACATTATAATAAATTAGCCTAACCCAAAAACACAATCCAGCTTCAGAGATTTCAATAAAGAATGTATTGATAAACAAAAACAACTCCTGATATTCCTTGAAAATAATCTGCATCTTCTTCTCTTGCACATTTAATAAGTTTTCAATATCCATTGGATTAAGTGCCTCTAAAAATCATTTGAAAGTATTATGGATCATTGACTCAAGAGCCACATATCACATGACACTCTACTACCCACTTCATCGACTATACTCCTTGCACAAGTGACAAGAAAATCATCATTGTTGATGATTCTCTTACTACAGTAGCAAGCCAAGAAAACATTCCCTTATCGCTATCCCTCGCTTTAAAAAATATCCTCCACATACCTCAATTATCCAAAAACATAATCTTCGTATAAATTATCAATGACCATAATTGCCAAGTTTTATTTAACCCTACTTGTTGCTTATTTCAGGACCAAAAATTAGAGAATAAAATTTAACTTGCTAAGGAGAGTGATTGATTGTACTTCTTGCAAAAGCCAAACAAATATAATTTTATCAATAATTGTTATTCTATGATATTCCTATTTGATAAAAAATCTACTACTTGGCTTTATCGTTTTAGATTAAGACATTCAATTTTTGATGTCTAAAGAAATATGTATTCAAAACTTTTTTTACAAGTTGAAAAAAGAATCTTTTTATTATGACACCTGTGAGCTAGCCAAGCATAAACGAGTTTCTTTTTCAAACAAACATGAGAAATGTAATACTCCATTTTACCTTATTCATTGTGCTATTTGGGAACCATAAAAAATCCCTAGTATCTCAAGAACCCGATGGTTTGTATCCTTTATTGATTACTACATTCGAGTCTCTTGAATCTTTCTCCTAAAAAAACAAATATGATGTTTGCACTATCCTCCCCATTTTTCATGATCCAAAACTAATTCGGGGTAGAACTAAAAAAAAATTCATTTAGATAATGCTAAAAATGACTTTAACCAAACCCCATCCTCCTACTTTTAAAAATAAGGTATCATTCAGGAGTCTTCCTGCATTCACACCCCACAACAAAACGAAAATGCAGAAAAAAAAATGGTCACCTTCTAGCATCCACCCGTAAACTTTTATTACAACACAATATACCCAAATCCTACTGAGAGAAGCCTTTCTTACTGCCACATATCTCATAAATCGACTACATTCAACAACCTTGGGACTAAAAACACTAATGAATTTTCTATCCTCTTTTTATCCCGAATCTTAAACCCATAATAACTTTACACCCATAATCTTTGGGTGCACTGCCTATGTTCACATTCATAACCAAAATATGAGTAAAATTAGATCCAAGAGAACTCAAATATATCTTTGTTGGATATTCATCCATCCAAAAAGGTTAGAAATGTTATCATCCCTCCACCAAGAAAAGTTTTGTATATGTTGATTTTACCTTTGATGAACAAAAAGCTTATTTTACCAAACATCATCTTCAGGGGGAGACTGTAATTGAGGAAGACGAGGAAAGTGAGCTTGCCCCTCATGACCTTCTAGTTCCACCTCAAATCAATCCACATAAACATAAAATCAAAACTAAAGAAACTAAAAACAAAGTTATTATGGATAATAGGAGGTTTAAGCAACTGTATTATAAGCAAATAAATCTAAACTATGCTCCAGAGCATATCAATGAATCTGAACCATCTCCTAAAATTGAGGTAAATACAAGTTCATAAAAAAAAAAAAACTCTTATACCCTATAACCAACGTTGTATCCTTCCATAACTTCTCACATTCATATAAAAAATTTCTGATTATAGTAAATGATATTCATATTCCTAATGATATTTTTGAGGCATTGTCTAATGAAAATTGAAAAAGTGTCATGAAAGATGGAATGCAAATCGTGGAGAAGAACAATACATGGGAGATCACCGACCTACTAATAGGAAAAAAAATTAGCCGGCTGCAAATGGGTGTTCTCTGTGAAATACAAAGTTGATAGTACATTGAAAATGTATAAGGCAACTCTAGTGGCGAAAGGGTACACTTAGACGTACGGTGTTGACTACCATGAAACTTTTGCACATGTGACCAAGATGAACACCATGAGGATCCTGCTCTCACGAGCAGCTAATTACAACTATCATCTTGAATAATTAGATGTCAAAAATACATTCATACACAAGGACTTTGAGGAAGAAATATTTATGGAGATTCCACAAGTATTCATAAAGAAATCAAGGGGTAATAGAGTATGTAGGTTCGAAAAAGTTCTATATGGCTAAAGCAGTCACCTAGGGCTTGGTTTGAAAGATTCTCAAAAGTTATGTTACTTAATGGTTATCGACCGAGCAAAGACGATCATACATTATTCTTCAAGCACTCAAACTCAAGGGAAGTCACAATTATATTAGTTTATGTGGATGACATCATCTTGACTAGGTATGATGAAAAGGAGAGTGATTTTAAAGGAATATCTTGCCAAGGAATTTGAGATCAAAGATCATAGTATATTAAAATATTTTCTTGGAATTGAAGTGACCAAATCCAACAAAGGAATTTTTATTTCACAATAAAAATACATTAATGACCTTCTTAAAGAAACATGCAAATTAGCTTGTAAACCAGCACCAACACTAATAGTATCAAATCTCAAATTGGGTGAAACTAAAGAAGATCCAAATGTAGATAAAAGATCTTATCAAAGACTTGTGGGAAAATTAATCTACCTTTCCCACAACATATCAAATATAATGTTCGTTGTAAGCATGGTAAGCTGGTTCATGCAAAATTTAAAACAAACTTACATACAAGCTTTAGACAGAATACTACACTACCTTAAGGAGAACCCAAGTAAAGAGATTCTCTTTAGAAGAGTGTGGAATAATCCCAAAAGCATATACTAATGTAGATTATGCAAGATCACCATCAAATATGCGATCTACCTCAGGATACTACACATTCCTTGGAGGAAACCTTGTTATATGGAGGAGCAAGAAATAGAATGTGGTGGCAAGGTCTAGTGCAAAAGCAGAATACATAGATATGGCCTTAGGAATATGTGAGGTACTATGGATCAAGATGATTCTAAAAGACATATGGATTAAGTGAGTACGACCCATGAAGCTACATTGTGACAACAAATCAACAATCAACATATCTCATAATCCGATTCAACATGATAGGACAAAACACATAGAAGTAGACAAACATTTTATAAATGAGAAATTAGACGGTGATCTTATATGCATCGATCATTAGTGTTAAATCCTAATTGTCCATTTGCATTTTAATCCCACAACAAAGATAGATATCCGTGGGAGACTCACCTATTAAATCCAAATCATCCCTTAGCATTTTGATCCCACAGTTAAGATGAGAATCTATGGGAGGCTCACATGGATCATGCTAATCTCTTTTCATATTTGGTTGGCTAATTTAGGAAGGATTTTATTAGAGCAATTATGCATGATTTTGTAATTATTTATTTCTTTATCAAATTATCTTATATAGATCTATAAATAGGAATAATTTTGTGCAATAAAATTAAGTATTTTTCCCTCTCCAATTATCTGAATTTAACAAATCACATTACATATTTAAGACCAAATCAGTTTAGGGGTTAAAGTATTCCTCAAAACTAATAAATGATGACTTAAATGAATTCCGTTCAAGATGAATTTCATTGGGTAAAAACAAAGTCCCTAACAAGTATTCCTTTTTTACAAAAACAACTTCAGTTCTACCCTGCCTAAAAGCATCCTAAATTCCTGATTGTTATCCTTCACTTACATGACTGAAACTCAAAATGAGACACATGCAACTGACAACATAAACCACAAAATTTTAAGATAAGGATCTATAAACTCTCTGTTTGGATGGCGTGAACAAAGTGAGATTAATCGGGAAAATGTGCCGAAAAACTAAATCTAGGAACTAGTTTCAAGCTACAGAACAAATTACAAAGCATTTCCATCACTTCCCTAAATTCCAAACATAACCAAAGTAGAGCAACGAAAGAAACCAACCAGGTAAAATTGCAGGGTTCCATCAGCCTCTTGAAATCTGCAGAGAAAAATTAAAATTTGAAATTCTAACCAAGTTATAAAAAAAATAGATTTGGAGGAATAAATTAAGATAATATAGATAAGGAACAGCGCACAAGAAAAAACTGACAATATTAAGTTTCACATTAGCATTCAAGGCTGCAAAATTGATCTTTTAGAAGGATAGAACAGCTTAAACAGGAAACATGAAATAACAGTGATATGCGTTAAGTTCATGCCACGAGTGCGCAGAACATTCTTTATTTAAAGAGAACTTATCCCAATATATTGTTTTGCATCAAAATTAAAAAAGAAACCACCATAAAAAATTTAAATGGTTAGAAAGTAATGAAATTAAACCAACTCAAGATTCCAATTAAATTTCCAAAAAGTTCATAATTAGAACATTTTGGAAATTAATATCGCGGTAAAAAGAAATGAATCCATAGCAAGAAAGTAATTATTTCAACAACGGCAGTAGAAATGAAGCTGAGGGTCTAGTCAGAGAGCCATAAAAAACAGAAGACATCAGCGATGTCAAAATTAACTTTGCTCTTTAAGCACTGGCCAAACATTGGGACCTCTTCTCCTCCGAAGCCAGGGAAGCCATCGTCGAAGCTCGAGGTTACCAATGATGCAAGGGTTGCTAGGACTAGATGAAGAATGAAAGAGGTGATATTGGCTGTCAGTGGTGCTTTCAGATGCAGAGCAAGGGCGGCAAGCAGATCAAGTGAAGGTGGAAGTAAAAGGAGTTTTTCTTAATTCAAACTATTATTTTTTTGCAGTCAAAATAGGTTTTTGAACCATTTTGAATTCTCTAGAATGTTAGCCTCACAATGTTGTTCAGTCTTAATGAACTCACCTTAGTTTGTAAGCAGTACCAAGTTAAATTTTGCTTGAGAAGTTCTGTTCCTGCTTTGATGGAGTCTTAAAACTGAAAACTGGGACTTATTTATTATTAAAAGACCGCACTCAATAATTGTAGATGTTTTTTTTTTAGACATCTAGACGAATTAAGGCAGACTCACAGACAAATCGCATGCACAGACTCAAACCTAAGACCTCTTAATTGATAGCCTAAGCTCCCAACCAACAGGCCAAGATGAGCTTATAGATGTTCATAATGGCATCAAGTATCAACTTCTCCAACTAATCAATGTCATAAAATATGAACTAAGACTTCTAATCAGTAATAGCAAGCTTCTTAACAAAAAATCTCCAGTTAATTAGAAAAAAAAAAAACCTAACAAAACCGACTTACCAAGCATATACCGGAACTCAAAAAAATTAGCACTCTGGCTTTAGTTAAAACCCTCATCGCCATTAAATGGCCCCATGTGCATATAAATCTTCAATTAGTCATCCTCCACCCATAACAAAATGAAATTGCGAAATTGCTGAAGGAAAGTGCATGCCACTTACAACTCCTAGCGGCTAATATTGCCCCGTTCTTCTACAAACTACTGGAATAAGTCTGTTGCTGCTCAGCTAATTAGCCCAATGCAACTGTTTTATGTGCCCATAATCATCATCATCGTAAGTTTTATATCCCACTTACAACTCCTCACACTACTTACACCATCTAGAATGGTTGAGATAAAATATCTAAAGAACATAAGATTTGTAAAAAGTAACCAACTATTATCTTTTCGCTGCTTGAAATCTTAACCATGCAAAAATCTAGATGACTGAGGAACATGTGTGAGAACAAAAGCAACTTTCCTGATAAACTCTCCCACGCACCCAGAGCGAGACCGGGTTGTGAGATTAATGGGCACAACCCCTTCTTCCCTCCCCATGTCAAGATGGTTGCCAAATTATGAACCTGATGACAAAAGATAAAACGTCTGATTTATATCAGGAATCAAAAACTTGAATGAAGAAAAAATATGACACTAGCCACCGAGTGGGGGTAATGAAAAGAATAAAACCTTTGCAAGAAGAGCCTAGGTGTCCACTTTGCAGAAGCAGAGGAGACCGAGGAACTTGTCCCTCTTGTTTGGTTAGATAAACATAAACACATATCTTCAGCAATATATCAGTTTTACAATGTGGAAAGTTATTGAGGGCATAGTATGTGAAACATCTTCCTACATAAAATACATATAAAACTGAGATAACAGAGGCAACAAAAATATTAATACTAGTATGTTATGGGAACCAGTTATCATTTAGGCTAGGCCAAGGAAAACATTTTCAGATGGCAAGGAGATTTGCTAACCTTGACGGGGTGCATACAGCGTGCTTCCTTTGCAATCTCCATCAATTCTTAGCATATTACTACTTCAATGCCATTTACATACATATATAACTCTATACATGCATACATATACACTTCCATATATACATCAGATGTACCAAGAAAACATCATTTATGCAAACATTTATTAAATCATATATCATGACATGATCTGAGGTGTGAGTAGCAGCCATCACCGGTCGTAAATACCTCAAGGCATACCCAACATATATGCCGGCCGCACCGGCACTCGATATGGTTACACCCATCAATCTTTTCAATCACATGCTTACAGACAGGGCAATCCTTCACATTCTCCTTCCCCAATCTCCAATTAAATAGTGAAAAATCAGGATTGTCTTTGTACTCCCTGTACCGCTCACAGCTGATTAATGCATGATATTCCAAGTGGCACCAAGTACATATTTCAACAGAGCAAGCTCCACACACAAAGGGTCCATCAGCCACAGCCTGCTCCTCCGAGGTAGCCATTTTGTAGATCCCTGGACAGTCTGGAGTGGGGCAGAAGCGGTATTCCCCACCACTTTTTGATACAAACCAGATGATCGAGGCCTGGAAGAGTTCGTCCAGCCTCTCTCCAAGAAGAAGGGCTTTTAGGTCAGTGAGTAGAAAACGGTCCTGGCAGCCCTCCTTAGCACACCTCAGCGGAAACCCATCCCGAGACCTTATAGCTGCCTCACATTGGTTCACCAGGCAGGCCTGACAGAACTTGTGCCCGCATGATTCAAGACAGAAGGGTTCATCCAGCTCACACAAGCAAATGTGACACATGGTTTCAGGAATGGCTAATGCAGGAAGACAGTCGCTGCCTAGGGAGAGTGCCATACCAGAAATAACCTCTTCCACCTTTTGCTTTTGCTCCATGCTGCCCCGAGCATATAGGACATGCCACCGGGTGTTAAGAGTTAACTCAATCCCAGGAACAAGCAACCTAAGCCCTTGAAGGTCAGCACCAAATCTCAAGATGACCTCTTTCATTAGATTTGCAGGAAGATTGTGACCTCGAAGGCGAATTTCTAGTTGCCTGTTCGCATTAAGATTTTGCAAGGATTGAACCAGTTTTTCCTCAACCCCAACACATTTTTCTGGAGCGCCAAACAGCTTAATGCGAAGGTTATGTTTGTCATAGAAAATGTAAGTTCCAGTCTCCCTCTCTAAAGACTTGATAAGAATGATGCCATCACGAGAAAATAGGAGCTGCATCATTGTAGGAGTTAGGCCAGGATGAGTCAGGGCCTTTCCTCTCATCAGATTCTCAAGAGGTTTCCTCAGATCTGCAACAATCTTGGTTGCATGAGCCGATAACTTCACTCGGTAGGAACCATTGAGATTTCTATCCACTGAATAGGTTACACCTGTGAGAATTGACAAGAAGAATAAAGTCTTGACAAGAAAAAATCGCGTTAATATTGTAGCTTGGTAGTAAACAACAACAACATCAAGCCTTTATCCCACTACGTGGGGTAAGCTACATGAATCCTTTTCTCCATTGTGTCCTATTAAAAGTCAAAATCTCGTTTAAATCTAATAAAAAAAGGTCATTCCTAATATTTTCTAACCAAGTCTTTTTAGGTCTACCTCTACCTTTCTTAACATATGTTAAATCTAATACCTCTACTCTCCTAACCGGGTCATCGGAAGGCCGCCGTTTTAAGTGACCAAACCATCTAAGACGACTCTCTCTAATCTTATCTTCTATAGGAGTACTCCAACCTTTTCACGTATATGCTCATTTCGTATCATATCTCTAAGGGTACATCACTCATCCACCTGAGCATCCTCATCTCTGTCACACTTAACTTAGTATTATGCTTCTCTTTTAATGGCCAACATTCGGCACCATAAAGCATTGCAGGCCTCACTACCATCTTATAGAATTTTCCCTTAAGTTTGAAGTTTAATAAGAGTATACGTTTTAGATATCTTGGATCTATTGTTCAGAGTGATTGTAGCTTGGTAAACTTCAATCAAAATTCTCTAGCAAGATGCAGGACATTGGAGTGATCCATCAAAAATCACAAACGACAAATACCACAGGAGTAAAACAGAGAAAAGAATACAAGCACACCTTTCTGAATTTTAAACATTTCAAGCAAAGACACCAGCGGTTCTCTGATGACTGAAAAAATCCGTGCAGAACAAGAAATGGAACTACGAAACATATCCTGACATTCTATCTTCTGCCATGGGAGACAGCCAGGAAGGACTTTTCCTTGGAGATGATCCAAAGCCTTTGCTGCCTCTAGATGTAAACTTCCATCAAAACTGATAGCTGCTCTCACCATACAATCACTTGGCTCGGACTCAAAAACTTCAACCCGAAAACTTCTCAAAGAGTGCTGCCTATTAGGCATCAAAGGAGCAATTTCTTGAACAAGTGCGCGTTCACAACTATCAACTGGAAGGGTATTGATAGGATCTCCCCTCAAAAGTTTAACACCGTTAATTTTCCCCTTAGTTACATTTTGAAAATCATTATATATTTCCGATTCCGAAACATCTTTTCGAATTCCTGTCACAAAAAGACAGTTTGGGTACTTCGTGCTGACAGAACAACCTACATAACCTCCTCCAACAAAGATAGGTTCACAATTGCTGACAATAAATTCAGCATTCTCAGCAGAACATTCAACAAGTGCAACTCCCTTGCTAGGCCTTCGAGGCCAACAGACTTTTGTCCTCACAGAAGGAAAAGGTAAATTTCTACGTTCTGCTACCATTGCAGGCACCACTTTTAAAAAGTTCCCGTGAAATTCTAACCCGTTTAACTTAGTTATGGCTTTCTGTGCATCTTCAGGTTTAAGAAATGTTACTTTGCCCCACTTACAGGAGTCTGGTCCATCTTGCCCATTCCCTCCAACTATAGAGAAGTTAGCTATACCTGAGATATTCTTGTCAATCAGCAGAATAAGTTCCATATCATTCACATCACGTGCACAAGGATGGAATATTTCCACTGTTAAACACCGGTTGTCGAGTTCCAAATGCCTAATTTCAGCACCGGAACCAAATAGTGCAAAGGAGGGAAAACTTCCAGGAACAGCAATGAACAAGCATTTCTCGATGCACTCGTCCTTCAACAATCTTTTTTCACACTCTAAAATATCAGTAGCCATGGAAGAAACCTTTTCCAAATTCCTTGCAGCGGCAAATAACTGAATCTCTCTTCTATCGAAATCAGCTCTAATATGGATGTGTTCGTCCATGCATTCTTTCTGAATGTATGACATAATGCTTTCAATGTTGTGGTTTGACTTGCCACATAACCTTCGAAGCATATTATTTCCAAGCCCGCTAATAATCTTCTCAAGCATCTTCTGCTCCTCCAATCGTGCAAGATTAAGAGGAAGCTGAATCTCACACAGGCTTTCATAGTCAACAGAAGTAGCACAAACCAGATACTGATTTTCGCTTGATAATATTTCAGTAAATACTATCCAGCTTGGCTTCTGCCCATACATCAGCAGTGAACAGGAAGGATGAAGCTGCAGTTTTTGCCCTGTTAAAGCCACTAAATAACCAAGTCGATCATATCCAGTGTACATAGCTACATTCTCCACAAGAGAAGAGAGTATGATCTTCTTTAGATCCTTATCATATTCACTAGGTTTATGCGGATTCCATAAAAAATAGCTGGGAGTTATCATATTGAGCTCATGTTTGAGGCAGTTTTCTAACTCCAATACAGTTTCGTGACATCTTCCCATCGACTTGGCATTGATGCTATTCTGCCAGCACCAATGGTTTTTATTTGTGTCTACACTTTCCCATTCCATGTAAACAGAAAGCAGAGTAAAAAGATCTCCTTCACGGTGGCAAAAAGGGATCTTTAAGCGGTCAGCTTTTCGCTTATCATCATCGCTGCCAACTCGACAAAATATACTACTATAATTTGCCATAACCGCAGCAAGTACGACACCCTCCTTCCTCAATCCACATGAAAATGATTCAAGTATTATTTTGCCAAGCCGAGGCTCAATGCCTAATTTAACAAAAGCACGACCAGTATCAGTAAGCTCAAAAAAATGCTTTTTGCATACCACAGCGCCCAACTGGACCAGATTCTGCATTGCTTTGTCAATCGCCTCTGGGCTCGGAGCATCAACAAACTCGAAGTCCTGTACATTCTTCATGCCCAAGACAAGGATCCTCAAAAGTGCGATTCCAAGGTGAACTTTACGAATTTCAGGCTCTTGATGCACTGGCATTGACTGGAAATCTGACTTAGAATAAATCCTGTAGCATTTGCCCGGTTCTGTTCTACCTGCTCGGCCAGATCTCTGATTGGCTGAACTTTGACTGGTCCATGAAACCTTCAGCAAATTCATGCCAGTACTTGCTTCAAATCTGCTCTCCTTAACCATGCCAGAGTCAACCACATATTTGATACCATGTATAGTAAGAGAAGTCTCTGCCACATTTGTCGAAAAAATTATTTTTCTCTTCCCTGGGTAATTATTAAAAACACGGACTTGGTCTTCGTGAGAAAGTTTTCCATGCAAAGGTAAGACCACTGCTGAAGAATCCCTAAAGTTTTCACAAGCCCATTCTACTTCAGTTTGAGAAGTCAAAAATGCCAGAATTCCACCACCCTCCTCCTTATTGTGAATTATGCCCACCAGCTTAATAACATCAGAAAGGTATGAAGGATAATTGAAAGGGATATGTTTTGGAATCTTACACCAAAGTCCCTCATTAGACACATCAGTAACATATTTGATATCAACAGGAAAAGTCCTCCCTTTGACATGAAAGGTGCAACAATCATAAAAAAAATCTGCCAGTTTGATAGCATCAGCAGTAGCAGACATTATTATAATACGTAAATCAAATCTCTCAAGCATTTTTTTCTTAATTAATGCCAATAAGAGATCAGTACTCAGACTTCTTTCATGAGCTTCATCAACAATGATGTGTGAAATGCCACTTAAACTTGAATCATTCATATAGCGTTGCAGTAGACAGTGATCCGTCATATATATTATCCCAGAACTTAACCTCTGCAAGACTGAGGAGGAAGCATGCGAACTGACGAAGTTGTCTGCATGACACCCAATAGTTTCTTCACAGACCCTCCTTGCAAGCGTCATAGCAGCAATCTTGCGGGGTTGAGTGCAGATAATAGATCCATTAGTAGCTAAGCCAGAGTCAGCAAGAAACTGTACCAGCTGTGTACTCTTTCCAGAACCTGTCTCCCCAATCAAGACTACAACCTGTAGAAAAAAAAAAAATAGACAACTTTCAGAATCTATATCTTTACGAGTAATGGAACCACATAAGTTGGGATAAGGTATTAAATTACACTTAAATGGCATGCATAATGTTTTATGATATTCATCAGCAATAAAATTCATAAGTCACCATTTAATGCCACAAAAGAACATCAATATAAATTAACATAACAATGTAGGTGCCAAATCTTCTCCAAAAGAGCCAAACCTTCAAAATCCATCATATCAGCCTAAACATCCTTGCACTTGTTACAACTTCCATTACTGCCTTTGTTGCCCAACATTTCACAGCACATACCACTTCATGAAGTTTCTCTCAAGCCTCTGCAATATCCTTTAATGATAAAGATTTAATATGATCCCTCACTGATCCCATGCCTAAGCATAAATATAAAACCCAGAATTATGCAATTAAAAAAACTATCACCAATAATACAGTTGTAACCCTCATAAATTACTTGGGCACAACATAATGAGATTTTGAATATTCTATATCATGAGCATAGAAGTGCAACTAAAAGCATGCCTACATTACAAATTTCGAAAACATAAGACATCATTTCTTCTATGAACCTAAGAATTAAACAAGCAGAATAATAATGTATAATTTGATAAAAGCTTAGCAACATAAGCATAGTTGCTAAAGAGTGTACACATTATCTACATTTTTAACAACATGCGTACAAAACATGATATCAAAGATGGACATGGAGGATCATGAAAATGAAAGGATTTGATTCAAAACAATAATTCCACAAACCACTTGATAAAAATGAAAAAATTCTAAACAATTGGCCTCAGATTCCAAGTGATGTTAAATGAAAATCGGCAGTTCAGATAAGCACTCCATAAGATGTCATAACACCAGCACAAGGAGTATGCTAAAGCCATTTGCCCATTAGAAAAGCTCGAAACTCAAAGCATGCTCGAAAATTGGCCAAACTTGAAAAAGGCTTAACCTAAACCCAATTCCATCTGATTATTTATCAGATCAATAATACCAAGTTAACTTGCAATAAGCATTTACATGAAATATTCAATATATAAGCTACAATATAATATAACATGTAGTACAATATGTAGATTTTTGTAGAAAATCGGTTAAAAATAAATTAAGTTCACTTAAAATTCATTTCAAGTTGAATTTGAGCAGAACAAGTATTGAAATTTTCAATTTTTTGTTGGCTAAACTTGACTCAATATCACCCCTACATTACTGAGGCCCGCCTAGCAAGCATCTTTTTTAACGCACAAAATGAGTTAGTTTCTTATGATTGCGATAGGAAATACTTGAGTTCGTAAGTAACGCTAAAGGAAATACTTGAGTTCGCAAGCAAATCTATCACTAATTGGTGAAATCAGCAAGAATAATGCAAAATGTGGGTGAAAACAGCCCCAAAACATTGTATTGCAATAAGAGAATCAAAGCCAAACAAACAAGATACAAGTGATCCTCAATTCGAGAGGAGGACTGTCTCTCCCAATCTCTAAACAAGGAATCTAGAGCCCAAAACACCAAAGAAACTACAAGAGAAACAACCAAACATGCCCTAACCCTAGCCTCTCATGCTATTTTAAATTACTCAATACATAATTCCTTCGTTTAATTAATTCCTAATACAATCTTTCCAAATACAAATTTCCTTCTTTGCTTTTGTCGCCCCCCTCTCTCTCTCTCTTCTTGTCTCCCTACAGGGCATGACATGATTTTTAAGGAGGCGATTTAGCCCGCCTCCTGTAAACCTGGGCCGGCTGGGTCGGTTCTACAGGAACCGTATCAAATTGTTGACCTCGATGCGAACACCTAAATGGACCAACTAATAGTGACAAAAATGGCGAACAGCGAATGCAACGCCGTGAAAATTTTCTAAAACATTGCTCATTTTGTGAAACGTAACCACCATTACATTTGATTCTTCAATCAAACCCAGTTAACAACCCCTCTATCGACATCAAAAAACAGCACAAACCTCATCCACTGCATCTTAGCCATATGCTCCTACCCACAACAACCCAACCACCCCTTTGGCCTTCAGCCACCGTCAACGAACTCCCCTCTCCTAGCCATAGCCCCTTCAGCCAAAACCAAATGTCGTCGCCAACTCACTCATCAATGTTATCATCCCCTCCCTTTTCCTTCTCTCTCATGCCCTTCTCTTCATATTCTCCTCTCGCTCTCTCTAAACAAATAAATCGTCCTCTCCTTCTCTATCATTCTCCCTAAATCTCTCTCTCTCTCTCTCTAAATAGTGAAATATCTCTCTACCTCTCTCACCCTGCCTCTCTCTTTCGTTCTTTAAAAAAAGAGAAACCTTGTGTATAATTTCAGGCAAGGTTTAAAATTGCGTAAATAAGTCTCAAGGCGTTTTTCGTCCGTGAGGCGAGGCGTAAGCCTCGAGGCGGTGTGAGGCGTAAGCCTCACCGACGAAGAATTGCGTAAATGAGAATTTAAGGGTTTTAGCAAGTAAAAAATAGTAAGATTCTATCAGCATGTACCTAGCAGTACCGAGCAAATACCTAGCTATACCGAGCATATACTGAGCGGTATCGAGCATGTACCTAGCAGTACCGAGCAAATACCTAGCTATACCGAGCATATACTGAGCGGTACCGAGCATATACTGAGCGGTACTAAGCATATATTTGAGGCGTACGCCTCAGCCAGAATTGCGCAATTGCGCCTCTGAGGTGCGCCTCAGTCCAAGTGAGGCGTACGCCTCTGCCAGGAGAGGAATTGCGTAAGCCTCGAGGCGATTTTGGGTCAAATTGCACAGAGGCGCGCCTCAAGGCGTGCCTCTTATTGCGCAATTTTAAACAGAGATTTCAGAAGAATAGAGCCAAAAAAATTTTGTAGTATTTGTTCCAAACTTTTTGTCAAGTTCGTCAACTTTGTCGTACATGATCAAATGCAACAACCCAAATCCTCAAAATCCTGTCTGTGATGCCTTGGCATGAGCCTGGTAGGGAAAACTTTCCCAAAATCTTCATGGTGCAGCTATAAATCCCTATAACCCCATTTGCGATGCATTTTGAGTGGCGAGTGGAACCCAAAAATGTTTTTTTAGCTTGGAAAAGGAAACTCGTCAGCTACATTCACAACGTGGCGAATAAATCCCTAAAACCCATTTGTTGTGCATTTGGTGCAAAAAACAGAACCATTACACGTTTTTCTTAACATGATGAGAGAAACTCGTAGGCAAGACTTGTGACGCCGCACATAGACATTGTGCAAGCTTTTTTAACATTGAAAGAAAATTTATATACCATTGTAAATTTCCTTCATACAGGTACCCCATGCATGCAATTTTTGACATGATGGGTTTTGAAAATTTTGAACGTGGTGTCATACGACACCGACCATGCACGCATTTCTACCCGAGGAGAGAAAGCAAATACTCCTCGTAGATTTTCTCTAAGAGGTGAGACGTCGACAGGCTGTTAGAATTCAAACTGAGCAAACTCTTAAAAATAATACACATAGAACCAAAAATGATTAAAATACAATGCAAGCAACTCTAAAAAGAGTAAAATGTCAAACATAACTTGAAAATACATGACGTACATGAAACCTTTAAAACACTTGCAAGTTCGTTATGAATGCGAAGAGAACTTCACCGCTATGATCAAAGCCCGTACAGACCTACGAAATGAACTCAAGTGATCCCAATGGAATGTGAAAATGAACTAATCTTGCACCCAATTTATAAGTGAGTGATTAACCTTGCGGACCCACAACACTTAATATGCTAATATAAAAATGGATAATAGTAATAGAATGACGTGAAAAATGTGTGGGCATTTCAATTAATCCCAAAGTTTTCTTTTTTGCCCACGGATCCGGAATATTGTCATGCAAGCAGATAGAAGGAAATCATTAAGCAATCAAAATAGAAAATTTGCAAGCATTCTAGCAATAAAATATAAACACAAACATCAAAATTAAATAATTTCAATGCATGTGAATTTCCCGAGATGAACTCCAACTCCGATATAACATCACAAATTTTGTGCAAGTATTGTGAAGGCACGCAAAACAACCTAATTTGGATATTTTCATATCATATGCACACATCATAATGTGACTTTCAAATTTAGTTAAAACACATTGAAAAACATGCAAATGCATCAAATGCACATATGCAATTGTGTCATGCAAGTACACTAAAACTAGTGCAATATACAACATAGAAGCACAAAAAAATCATGCAAGAAAATTATATATTTTCAAACTAAAATGTTCATATGTGCTCCAACAAATGTGTTAAACGGTCAAATTTAATGTTCGAGAATACTACATGAACTAAAAAGTAATATGAATACGAACTATGTATTGCAACGCATGTCATCTCCTCAAGAAGTGCACAATTGCCTAGAGAACCAAACAGTCCCTTCAAGAATTGTACAATAGCTCTAAACAAGCAAATGCACCAATTAAAGATATTGAAAACATGTGCAAGTATGCTGCACAAATGAACTGAAAAGCATGTAAATGCATCATTTAGGAGCACATAAAATGCGCAAGTACATAGTTTAAAAAAATCAGGTATGCGCAAGTAAAAAAAATAAAAAATAAAAATTAAAAAAAAAATTAAAACAAAAAACAAAAATAAAATACAAAAATAAAACAAAACAAACTCAGACGTAGAGCAATACCTGATTAGAAGATACGCCCCTTAGAATTTCCCTCCGGCAAGAGTATATAGGCAAACCACTATCGAGTCTCTTGCACTCCCTCAAAATGATATGGTGAATCCGGGCCCAGTCAAGTTCAGCACCAAATCTAAAAATCTCAACCTGCCCTTCCTCCTGAGTCCCAAGATGCTTCTTCCCGCCAATGTGATCAAGCAAGCAACTCATAGCAGCACGGAATTCTTCCAGCCTATCCTTCAGCAACCCTAATTCCTCTTCCAGACTCTTCCTGTCTTCCTGCAACTTCGTATTAACCCCCCAGAGCTGGGGTCGGGAAAGGCATTTCCCAACTTTCTTCAACTCTGCAGAAACCTCACCAATCCTACAATTAATTTTCTGAACCGAACTCCCTTCCAGCAAAACGTTGATGTGACTCGTAAAGAGTACTCGCAGGCGTTCCTCCAACTCATCGCGATCGGAAGGGACCGAGACCGTGGAAATCAGCGACGGCGTCAGCAGGTGAATGCTTTGGAGACGAAGGCGCCAGAAAAAAGCAAGCGCCTCTAGGACATGACACCACTGCTGAAAAAATAACTTCGCAGCAACCGGTCCGTCTCCACAGACGAAGAAATCGCTGGGGACCGCCGGGCAGTTAGAGATTAGGTCTTCAATTACCTTGGGGCAAGGGAATCCACGGCCGCTGGGGCGGCGTCGGAGGACAAGAGTAAAGCAAGACGACGAAATCGGAGGCAACGGTTGTTCACGAACCGGATGGGGACAAGGACCCGACGGCTGCCCACGATAGGTCAACGGCGGCGGCGGCGGATGCTGCTCCCGCCACTTGTAAGACCTTCCCGGCCGCCAGTCTTGACGGCGATCGTGGAGGCGGTAACTCATCGGGTTCCAGCGAAGATCGACAAATTGCGAGAGGGAGACGAAGAGGAGAAATAGGCAAGAGGCAAATCGTGTCGTGCTACAAATAGGTATAGTGGATCGTTTTGATGGTTCTGAGGTCAAGCGAGCGAGCGGTCGTTAAACAAGGAGAAGCTGTACCGGCTTAAAAAAGAAAATTGTACCATAGAAACGGGTCACCACGAGTGCCGTGAGCCAACAAAATCCACCGTTCATTTCGCTTCGTAATACGTGATTAACTATGATCTTCTAAAGATTTGTGGCTGCGTCAGGAAAAAAATTCTTCCCTGCAATGCGGGAAACGTTTCCCTTCTCAGTTCGATTCACTGCCCCCTTTCGAAATTTTTGCTTTTTGGGGGGCAAAGCCCTTTAGATTTTTGAATGCACGATATACGATTTGTGGATGCTGACCGTACATAATGCTTCCTTTAATATGATCTAATCAATATCTGATTCGTTAAAAGTCCAAAAATAATTAATGCCACTTATTGACTCTTTTTTATATATATAATAATTAGATTTTTACCAATGAAAAAGTGAGATATAAATCTAAAAGAATTTGATATTCATTACAAAAATCTAAATTTTATTTTTGATAAAGAGATTTGAAATTTCCTCGTTTTAAATTATTCGACAAATATCTATATTTTTTATTTTAGGTACACATAAATCAAATTATATCTCCCACTAGTTTTTATTCAAATTAAAATTTTATATTCTATTCAAGTTTATTGTTGTTGCGGGCTAAAGTATTTGTAGCGATAAAGTACAAAAATTGTCTTAGTACTGCACGAGTATTCAACACACAAATAAATAAAAAATAAATAAACATACAAAATTTTTACTTGGAGAATCCTAAAGGGAAAAATCACGATGTCACGTCCAGTTGAAATCATTCTATTAGTGCTTGAATAGATTTCAAATGACTGAGGAAGATCATATTACAACATTCAACCGTCAGATTGAAATCTAGTGACGAACGGAGATCGGACAGAAATCCAACGACGTTCGGTGGTCGGACCAAAATCTTGCGTCAGTTGGTAGATGGGAGGTAGTTTGGCGACGTCTTTTGGTTAAGCGAAGTGTGGTGTCAGTCGATGGTTGGCTAGACGTCCGACGATAGTCCGACAACAGCCTGTGGTCTAGCTATGGTTGAGGAGTCTGGTGTCAAAAGAATGATGGTTTCTCCTTCTTTCTTCTCTCCATTCTCTTTCTTGTTTGGGGTTCCCATTAATGAAGAATGAGAATCTATTTATATTTTTTTTGGAGTGTTATGGCCAATAAACATGAGGGAGATCAAGGGTATGTTTGGAGTGATTTGAATGGACAATTGATATTGATCCTCTTGATCGTGGACTATTTACTAGGCATTTGAATGTCTTAATGATTGATACGTCATCATGAAATTATCTTGATTGGGCACGAATCTCGAGGCAAAATCAGTTCGGAAACTTCAAAAATTAAATTCGAGAGCATATGAACTCCGATTTCAGCGAGCTTACAGTCAAACTGAGCGTCTCGGAAATACAAATCCAATGACACCAAATTCGACCCAATCCGAGCCCAAATGAGTCCGAATCAAGGATCCAAAGCGATGTTGGAAGCTTCAAACTGCAATTTGAGTTACCAAACAGTCCGATTTTAACGAGCTTATACTCGAATCGAACGGCTCGACGAGACGAATCCAACGAGCCCAAGATCGCCAAATTCCGACATCATTAAGGCCTTCAAATGCCCAACGAACTGTGCATGATCAAAGGATTCGATATCGGCCGTCCATTCAAAACACTTCCAATTCGCCCCTGATCTCACGCCTATTTACGGGCTATGCCACTCCAAAAAAAACTATAAATAGAGCCCTCATTCTACACCAAGGGGACAGAAGTGAAGAGAGAGAAGGAGAAGAGAATAAGGAGGAGAAGGAAGAAGCTCCGCCTCAACCACCGCCGGAGCTCTTCCCGCCGCCTGAATACGCCGGAACTTTGCCGGATTTTCGAGAAACGCCGGGACTTTGCAGAACCTTGTAACTTCATTAGAAGCTGATTGTAAACTGATCATCTCGACTTGTGAGACGAATCGGTCGTTGTACTTCAAACGAACACTAGTGGAAATTTTACAACTAGGCGAGGCCCCGTGGTTTTTTCCCTTTTTGGGGTTTTCCACGTAAAAACTCTAGTGTTCATTCTCTTTTCTGTTTGTGTGCTGAATACTCGTGCAATGCTAAAACGAATATTTTCGAACTATACCGCCGCGTATATTCTAGCACGCAACACTGATATTAAAATTAAGTGATATTGGGATCATTGGATTCGTTTCATCGAGCCACTCGATTCGACTATAAGCATGTCAGATTTGGTAATCCAAATTATGATTTGAACCTTCCAAAGTTGCTTTGAGCCTTCAATTTGGACCCGTTTGGGCTTGAATTGAGACGAATTTGGTGTTGTTGGGTTATTCTTTTTGAGACATTCAGTACGACTATTAGTTTATTGAAATCAAAGTTGGATGGTCCCATATTTAATTTTGGATGTTTTCATCTTGATCTTGCCTCGAGATTCGTGCCTGATTAAGATAATTTTTTGATGATATATCAATTATGTTTATATTTCTTTATCACAAATAGGCTTATTGATGTATGTATAATTCTTAAACAGACAAATAATTTTATATAAATTATTGTGTTTGATATTACTACTTTATAAAATTATTATAGGGAAAGTAATTTTTTTAAGCTGTTCTAGAAAGCAAATTTAAAGTACAAAATTTTTAAAGTAACGAAAAATTAATGTTTAATTAAATATTATGTTATGACCTAAAAAATAAAGAAATAAAAAAGTTGTCTCAAACCAAGCCTTTGTCAACATCAAATTTGATGTCCTCAACCTCATAATTAGTAGAGAAAGAGAGAGAGAGTCTTATTGCTAGAAACTCAATAAGTTTGAGTATGACATGATCTAGACTCCTAGTGGTGACAAATATTCAAACATTAGAAGATCCTTCTTTTCTAATGACCTAGACGTCAATTTAGGCTTCGTTTGGGAATGCTTTCTCACTTCTTCTTAAAGCAGCTTTCTAGTATAAAAATTTTAATTTTTGTACTAAAAAGCTACTTTATGAAGCAGTAAAAAAGCCGCTCCAAACGAAGCCTTAAACTTTATTTGGGACAGCTTTCTTATTATTTGCTAAAAAAAATTAGTACAAAAACGTCTTTAAAAGTAGTGTTTAAAAGCTATCTCAAACGAAAACTAAGTGATAAGTGATATGATGAAGAAATAGGTGGAGACAACTCTTCAAAAAGTTTATAGAAGGAATATAATTTTATTTAATTTACTTAAAAATGACAATAATACAATAATTAATTGATTATCCACAATATACTTTCCTCAATATAAATTTAAAATTTATTTAACTCATCAACCCAATCTTTTTCCCTCTAGACCAAAAGGTGGTTACTAAACAAAATTTACCAGGATTTTTGTTTGAAAGATTTACATGCATATCACTTTATATCATATTATTTACATATTTAACACCTAATATTTTAATATTTCACCCCTACCAGACTACCACCTATAGACAACATCGATATCAAATATGTCACTAATATATTTCTTTCTTACCACCTTATAAACTTTAATATTTCAATCCTTACACCTATTTTTTATTTATGGGGTATATACATGAAATATTAAAAATTTGAATGTTAGATATGTAAAAAATATGATATAAAATTATATGTATATTGTTGTGGACTAGAATATACGTGGCGGTAGAGTTAGAAAATTTTCGTCTGAGAGTTGTACGAATATCTAGCACACACAAACATAAGATAAAAGAACACCAGGATTTTTATGTGGAAAATCCAAAAAAAGGGAAAAAATCACGGGGCCACGCTTAGTTGAAAAGTTCCACTAGTGTATCTTCCAACAAGTTAGGATGATCAGATTACAATGAGTTTCTTATGTATTGAAATTCAGTTACAAAGTCGATCAGAGTTCCGGCGTCACTCGGGCGTTCGACTGATTCTGGTGTCGTTCTGACGACGGGAAGAACTCCGGCGGTGGTCGAGGAGGAGCTATTCTCTCCTCTCCTTCTCTTTTCTTCTTCTCTTCTTCTTCTTGCTTGGGGTCCCCTTTCATGAGAAATGAAGGGTCTATTTATAGATTTTTTGGAGCAACATAGCTTTTAAATAGGTGTGAGATCAGGGGCAAATAGGGAATGGTCGAACCAACGGTTCATATTGAATCCCTTGATCATGCACCGTTCATCAAACATTTGAAGGTCTTAATGATGTCGGAATTCGGCGATCTTGGGCTCGTTGGATTCATCTCGTCGAGCCGTTCGATTAAACTATAAGCTCGTTAAAATAGGAGATCATTTGATAACTCAAATTGTGATATGAACTTTCCAACAGCGCTTCGGGTCCTTGATTTGGACTCATTTGGGCTCGGATTGAGTCGAATTTGGTGTCGTTGGGTTCATATTTCCGAGACGCTCAGTTCGACTATAAGTTTGCTGAAATCAGAGTTCAGATGATCCCGAATTTAATTTTTTAAGTTTCCAACTTAATTTTTGCCTCAAGATTCGTGCCCGATCAAGATAATTTTTGCGACCTATCATATATAAATCTCCTTTTTAATTTGAAGTTATACCAATCAAGGATGACGATGATGAAAGCAAACTCTAAACAAATTTACTATTCAAAATATTTTTCTATTACAATGCTTTATGCCTTTATTTTCAAATAGTAAACTTAAGTACGGCGTTTGTATAGTAAGAATGGTTCTATCGTGAGGTTTAAGTGTTTAATCTCACAAGGATAAGCACGTCGATTATAACATTCGGGATCTATTTACGACAGTTTCTCATTATTTTATTTTTAAGACAGTAATCACAATTTTATGGAACTACTATTTTATTCATTCTTTCTCATTGTGTTCCAATAAAAATTTTGATTAAAATTTATTTTTTATAACCAGAATAATTATGTTACTTTCCTCATAATAATTTCATAATTAATTTTATAAAAAATTATAATTGTCCCAAAAAAAACGCCAATCTCCTAAATTTGCTTATTGAGACTTATCATATGTACAGTGTAATGGGAAGTACATGATGGAAAAAGCAAAAGCTTTGTCGTTGGATTAATTATTCTGTGTGAATGCTGAACGTCGACAAAAAATCAACCAGAATACGCCACATCACCCTTGTGCTCAGTACCGCTTGGTACTACTGACGTGATGCATTCTGGTTGGTCTCCGAACAACGTTCTATGCCCAATCTCCGCACAAAATAATTTCTCTTGCCACTGCCCTAAGAGGTGGATGGCCAAATGTGATATTAATACCAATTGAGAAGGAAGCGTCAATCTTAAAATGCTTTTTTCAAAAGTAAAAAACTTTAGCAACTTTCATCTTATAAATACGGAATGAAACTAATGCCACCAGATATTTAAAAAAAAAACACACACACACATACGCACACACACAAGATCAGTTATAAAATCATCCTCGAATTGAAAAAAAAAAAAAAATCCTTACAGGAGCAGCAACATCCATCTCTCTTTTCCTCTCTATCGCCTTACTAATCTCAAATAATAAAAATCCTGCATTTTTTGAAACTGCCAGAACTAAACTTATACTTGGTTAAAGCCACAAACTCAGGCTCGTTTGAGACAGTTTTTTTACTTCTTCTTAAAACGGTTTTTAGTTCAAAAATTAAAATTTTAATATTAAAAAGCTGTTTTAAGAAGCAATAAAAAAACTGTCTCAACCAAAACCTCAGTTAAAATTAGTTTGAATTCCAATTATCCTGACGCAACTTCTTTGATATGTTGGGTGTAACTTTTTCCAGGTGGGATAAAAATTAGATCTTCCCACCCAGAATTCTTGTCATTCACCTGCGACTTTATAACAGAATGAATCATATTTCTGAAGGAAAATTAATAAATAGTTTACAAGATAAATAGCCATTTATTCCTTACCTCCATTTTTTTAAGAACATCTTCCAAACTACCAACCTGCATGAGAAGTACTATGTTAAAGTAACATAACGGTAATGCAGCCCAGTAGATGCTTCAGGAGCAAATTCATAATAAATTACCATTATATGTTGAGAAAGAGAAGGTCCTCGGGGTCCCCTCGTAACTTTCAAAAGTTCCCTCTCTAGATCTTCCTGTATAGAATGGAAATGGTAATATTCTACATTTGTTAAATATTTTGTTACAATATGTGGAGAGAACGTACCTTCTGAAAGTAAATGGGACAGTAGCGCCGATTCTTCTTCTTAATAACTAGAAGTTCCGACTGCACAAAGAAAATATCAAGTCGAGTTTTGAAGTAATAATGATCAGAGATGAAGCAGTAAAAATTCTGAGATTGCGTTGCGAGAGCAAAGCAACCATTCATTAAAGAGAGTAACATAAATCGAACATAAAGAATTGAGAGAGTTGATAGAGAGAATTGTCCGAGAGAGAGTCAAGTGAGAGCATTAAAAGAGAGTTCTAACAGAGAGCATCAATGCATGATTACAAAAATCACTGTGATTGCCACAAGAGAATAGAAAAGTTCTCAGAAGTGTATAGATCTATGTTAAATAGAAGAAACCAAGTGTCACAATGATTGAAGATGGAGCTCAGAAGCTCCAGCTCCGAGAATAGGTCAAACTAAGAGGAGGAAAATAGGAAAATACAACAACAACATCAAGCCTTTGTCCCACTATATGGGGTTGGCTACATTAATTTTTTTTTTCTCCATTGTGTCATGTTAAAAGTCTAATTCTCGTTTAAATCTAAAAAAAGATCATTTCTAATATTTTCTAACCAAGTCTTTTTAGGTCTACCTCTACCTTTTTTAACGTAAGTCAAATTTAATACCTCTACTTTCCTAACCGGGTCATCGGAAGGCCGCCGTTTTATGTGACCAAACCATCTAAGATGACTCTCTCTAATTTTATCTTCAACTGGAGCTAGTCCAACCTTTTCATGTATATGCTCATTTCATATCCTATCTCTAAGGGTAAAACCACTCATCCACTTGAGCATCCTCATCCTTGCAACACTTAACTTAGTATTATGCTTCTCTTTTAATGGCCAACTTTCGGCACCATAAAGCATTGCAGCTCTCACCACCATCTTATAGAATTTTCCCTTAAGTTTGAGGGGGATTTTTCTATCACACAATAAGCCCGATGTATTCCTCCACTTAAACCATCCAACTTGAATTCTGCTGATAATATTCCCATCTATTTTACCATCACTCTGAACAATAGATCCAAGATATCTAAAACGTGTACTCTTATTAATAACTTAATCGCCCAAAGTCACAATCCCCTCACTAGATCCATTACTACTAAAATCACACTTCATATATTCAGTTTTAGATCTACTCAAGCGAAAACCTTTAGACTCTAAGATTGACCTCCATAATTTAAGTTTACCTTTAACTCCCTCTCTAGTCTTATCAACAAGAAGAATATCATCAGCAAAAAGCATATACCAAGGTACATCCTCTTACAAATGTCTAGTGAGAACATCCATGACTAAAGCAAAAAGATATGGGCTTAAGGCTGGTTCTTGATGTAATCCAACCGAAATAGGAAAATACTTGGTCAAATCACATTGTGTTTGAACACAAGTAATAGCTCTTGCATACATATCTTTAATGATTTGAATATAAGCATTATTAACTCATTTCTTTTCAAGAAACTCACCATAACACTTCTTTTGGAGCTTTATCATATGCTTTATCTAATCAATAAATATCATATGTAGATCCTCCTTATTATCTCTATATTTCTCCATCAAACCTCTCAATACTTCTATAGTAGACCTACCTGGCATGAAACCAAATTGATTTTGATAAACATTATGATAGGAAATACTTGAGTTCGCAAGTAACCTTAAGGTAATACTTGAGTTCGCAAGCAAACCTAACCCAAATCGGTGAACAAACAACGAAGATATTGTTGTTCAGAACATAAAACAGCAGAAATCTACTATTTACAGCAGAAAGACAGCACCAATCCAGAGAAATTATGAGAGAAAACTCAAATGAAAGCTTGTATTTCACTAGTAGATGAATAAAACAGCCAAAATACAATTGATCCTCAATTCGAGAGGAAGGATCTCTCCTAAATCTCTGGCAACGCCAAGAGCCCAAAGAAAAACCTAAATCTAAGAGATCTCAAATTTCAGCCCAATTCCAGATGCCCAAACCCTAGGAAATTCAACTATTTAATGCATACAAATTTAAAGGAAATTCCTAAACAGTCCCTACATTCAAAATTCCCTCTCAAAAGGCTAAAAAACGCTTCCTAAAATGCTCTAATGGGCTGGTCGGGCCGCTCGATCTCTGCAGAAGGCGGAGATCTGTCGCTCTTTGCGACTTGCCGGTCTTGTGCGGACAGGCTGGACCGGTCCAGTGGACAGGTCTAACACATTAGTATCACGTCGTAACCTACGCTTCATAACTCGCTCCATAGTTTTAGAGTGTGACACATTAACTTCACTCATCTATAATTCGCACAATCTTGTGCATCATCTTTATTTTTAAAAATAGGAATTAACATACTCATTCTCCACTCGTCTGATATATTTTTAGTCTTCAAAACAGTATTAAAAATTTTAGTAAGACAAAAAATTCCTTCATCTTCTAAGCATTTCCACACCTCTATTGGAATATCATAAGGTTCAACAACTTTTCCACACTTCATTTTATTTAAAGCCTCTCTAACTTCGATTTTACTAATACGCCGATAAAAACATAAATCTTAATTTTCATTTTGGGTGCTAAGGTTATTAAAGTCAATCATATCTTCACATTCTTCATTAAAAACTTTAGCAAAATATCTCATCTACCTTTGCTGAATATCATCTTTTAAGAAAAATACTTTTTGATCTTCATCCTTAATAAACTTCACTTGAACTAAATCCTTACTATTATCTCTTTGTTTGGTTAACTTATAAATATATCTTTCTGCATCATCAATATCTAATATATTATATAAATCATTAAAAACTAAGATCTTTGTATCGCATATTGCTTTCCTAAATTTCTTAAGCACCTCTTTATATCTTTCCCAATTATTAGAATTTTTACATCTAAACAAATTTTTATAGAAAATATTCTTATTTTTATCTTTTCTTGCACATTGAGATTCAATCACCAACTGTTTTTACTATTATGAGTTTTTCCCTTTGATACTTCAAGCACATCTTTTGCAATATTCTTACTATTACTAGCCAATTTTTTCCACATAACATTAGTATCTTCATGCACAGACAAAATCTTAAAATCATGAATCTTTCACTAAAAAATATTTTTTGTTAGAGTTCTTTAAATGCCCCCATCAAATCCTAGAATATCGTTTTACTTTATTTTTTTATTTTTTTGCCCCTTTTATCTTAAAGTCCAAAACTAATAATTGATGATGTGTATATAAATTTTCACTCGAAATAACGTTACAATCTATGCAATATAAACGATCAAATTTTCTTATAAGTAAATACTAAATTTGAGTTTTACTATATCAATTTTTATAAGTGATGAGATGTTTATCTCTTTTCTTAAATAAGATATTAAGCAATTAAAAAATCATAAGCTAAAAAAAAAATCTAATATGGTCTTACCACCTTATTTGTCGTTCCAAACTCGTGAACACCATGAATGTTTTAAAAATCAACTATCTTTTTGCCAACATGTTCATTTAAATCTCCTATAATAAAAACTCTTTCTTCAAGATGTATCTTTTGTATTAATTATTCTAAGTCATTTCAAAATTTTAATTTTGAACTCATATCCAAAACCTACTTGAGGAGCATAAGCACTAATAATATTAACAATCTTTAAAGCTACAATTATATCTCCAATTCTATTAATTTTTATAACATTATCCTTCAAACTCTTATCTATAATTACACTACATCATTTCTAGTATGACTCATGCCCGAATACCATAGTTTAAATCTTAAACTATCAGTTTCCTTATGCTTCTTTCCATCCATTTGGTTTCTTAAATACACAGAATATTTATCTTTCTATAAATAATAATATCTATTAATTTTATTAATTTTTCTGTAAGGGAACCTATATTACAAGTTAAACATTGCCAAGTAAGAATTAATAATGAAAGAGAAGATAAAGAACCTTACATAAAATTATGGTGTAAGTGAGCCGAGCCGGCTCAAGTTCAACTCGTTAATGAGCTCACGAGTCAAGCTTATCAAGCTATGAGTTCGAGCTCGAGCCTATACTCGAGCTCTTATATTAAACGAGCTCAAGCTTGTGCTCAACCTAGCTCGACTTAAAAGCTAGTTGAGCCGCTCAATTAACCTAAAATATATTTAAAATTTAATTTAAATTAGCATTATAAAATATATTTTAACCTTTTTGAATTAATTCTACATTAAAATTAAAAAGTCTTAAAAATTTTAAAATGTAATTTAAAATTAAGAAATCAAACACAACAATCGAGTTAAGCTCGAGCTTTCCAAACGAGTGCGAGCAAACAAGCCGAGATTGAGCCTATAAATTTTTAACGACTCGAGCTCGATATTAGTAAACAAACTCGAGTGGAGCTCGAGCTCAATAAGAGCTAAACAAGCTTACCTCAATTAGGCAGATACTCGACTCGTTTAAAAACCTACATAAAATTAACAATTGGGCATTAAATCAGCTATAGGGCTATGAACAATTTGATCTCAAGCCAATCACACCTTGATTCAAGAATAGCTTGAAAGATTATTTGATCATATCTAGATCCTAGTCAAGAATAGTTATAGAATGGCTTGATATAACTTCAACCTAAACTCAGATTTGAGCCAAAACTAGGGATAAGAGAGTGCCACAGAATAGATGAATTTTTAGGATCAATAAAGAGCACAATGACAAGAAACTGAACAAAGGTTGGTGTAAAACAATTTTAGAAGGTAATAAATTTGATGAGAGCTTTTCGCCAATTGTTAAACTTAACTATTATTCTTGTTTTAGCATAATAGCAATTAAAATTTTTCATTATGAACAGTTAGATGGCAAGACATTTTTTAAAAGGGAATTTGGAGTGCATCTATAGGGTATCATCTCATGGCTATGAAGACCTCAAAAAAGAATGTCTTATTTGCAAGATAAATATTTTTTTTTTTTACGGGTTAAAGTATGATTCTCGTTGACTGTATCATGAATTTAAAGCGTTTATAAATTTGACTTTATCAAATGCCATATAGAATAGTGTTTGCTATTTTAAAGGAGCTGGTAAGAGTTGCATCATCTTACTTTTATATGTGAGTGCCATATTGATTGCAATGAAAAATACAAGTCAAATCAACAAGTTGAAGGAACAATTAACAAAAGAATTTGATATGAAGGTTTTTAGAAGAACTGTTGGAGGCAAATTGAACAGTTCTTCGAAACTATCTTAGACTGAATTCATAAGTAGGTATTGAATAAATTTATGCATTTTTCAATCAAGACATTTGAAACTCTTAAAGAAAATAATTATCCGAAACTAAAAAGATGAGAATAAGAGAATTATGCCTCAACTGTTAGTTCATTTATATCAGCTTTGATATGTGCAAAACCAAATATAATTTATGCAATATGATTCATAAGCAGGTACATACCAAGCCCAAAAAAGGAACATTACGAGGATGCAAAAATACAAATTAGACTTTGCACTACTTGCTTAACATGGGCAACTTAAGATTGTAAGGCTTCATTATTGCAGACCTAGGTGGTGACACGAGTACTAGTAGTTCCAAAGCCATATATAACCCTTGCGTGTTATGGCTATCAATTAGACACACAATGACAGAAGAAAGAGGGTTTGTCGATCACAATTACATGGGCAAAGAGAAATTTGTTTGGTAGAAAATCACATTGAAAGATATAAAAAATAGCAGGATATCAATGTTCTTTATTATAATAATCAGAGTTTTATACATTTAACCAAATCACAACATTTTATTCTAGAATAAAAAAATATTTAGCTTAAATATCATTTTATGGATTATTAAATAAAATTAAGATCTTGGAACCCGTCTAACATGTTACTCAATATAAAAATCGCTGACAAACTGAGGCTGTACAAGCCCTCAATTAATGTTCATGAGACAAAGGGTAAAAATAATGTAAAGAGTTTTTATTGTCTATTAAGTATATAAAATTTTTTCCGAGTGAGAGACTTTTAATAAGGGAGACCATTTCTTCCTCCTGGAGATAAAATAAAATTTCATAGATTATGCTAGCTAAACCCATCTTCATGTTCTCCTAATTCTATGTTGAAGCGTTCCTTGTTGCTTTGATTCTTCATTATATCTTTTATTAATTTGAGATTTGAACATATTAAAATTATTGATACAAAATATTACAAATAAGGAGATATGGGAACAAATGAGCAAAGAAAAAAAATTTAATAAAACATGAATTTGAGAAAGCCAACCATATGTATAAGAGAAGAATTAATCTAGTTGATAATAAATGAAAATTATGTGGACTATTACAACAAAATGGCCTGCATTATATTAAAAGGCAAAGATGGAGGCGAAGCCCTGAAGTTTGAAGCAACATAGTGTTACCCAAAGAAAGTAACATGGTGCCAAAAAAAGTGAAATCATGAACAAGGACGAGCATAGTGCCAGAAAATATTAAGTTGTTGTGAATGGGGATGCAAGTCAAGGTTCTTTTGATAGCAACTCCTCCCAATCTCTTATATTGCAAGTTAAGTCTTTTATTATAAGTTCTACAAATATATAAAGGACTTTGTTAAATAGAAATTGTGATGTATCATTTCAAGTGTACTAAAAAAAAAATTATATGCAGTCATGTATGTAGTTTAGTCAATCTCATTAAACCATGTAATTTCTTGTTTTTTTCATAGTGGCATTTTTGCGGTATCTTTTTCTACTCGTTTTGTTATTGATTTTTGTACCAACAAATCAATTGATAGAATATAAAAATTACATCGCATTTCATTCATTCAAGTCATTCATGCAGAGCCTTCATAGTTGAAAATTGCAAGAAGCTAAAGAGTTAAATTGCAATATAATTTCACCTGAAACACAGGAACTCCATCAAAGCCTCTGGAACGATCTGCAAATTTTAACTGGAAATTGGAAAAGTTACAAACACACGCTAGAAATATATAAAGAGCATATTATGCCGCAATGATAAAGATACTAAAGAAAAGTAACATTATACAAGAAATAAAAAACTAATACTCAAGATTAATATTAGCATTTCAAATTTTCAATGTAAAAGCTTGAAGGATATAATATCTCATTTAGTCCTCTTGAAAAAACCAGCATCATATTGACATTCAAAAAGAAACATAACTCCCAAAGAAGGGGAAAAAAATAGTGACTAATGTATGATGGAATGAAGTTCCAATGGCACACCTCTAGTGCATTCTTTATTTGAAGAGGATCAGGCAGAAACCGAAATGCAATGCCCTCAACCTTTAGCAAATATACCTATACAAATTATTTCAAAATAATTTAAAACATATACAATAAACAAATAGAAATATTAAAGATTAAAATAGCATCAGGAAGATGTAACAATAAGTAGAAAAGTGGAATTGATATTTTCCTAACTAGAGTTGCAAGTTGGATTGGCTCAGATTGATTTCATCTCATCTAAAATTTGTATCCAAGCTGACTCAATTTGATTCCTCTATTATTGGAACAGGAAACAACCGGAATAACATGAGAATAAAACCAAACCAAAACAACTTTTTTAAATTTAGTTCTAGTTCACTTACACTAATGGGCACTGCATTATTTTGTCAAATGTGTGAAGTTCAAATAAGAAGAATCCGCCAACATCTGTTCACAATCTCATAAAAAATAATTAAAATTTCATAATTCAATCTCATCAATAATATAACAATTAAAAAATAATAAACAAAAATAGCTTATACTGCATAATTGTAATTGTTTATGTTTTAAATCATTTGCATGAAAAAATTTAAGATAATGTACTAGTATAACTTTAAATCAAGTAAAACTTCTATATTTATAGAAATTATTAATGATACATTTAGGTATGTGAGGCTTCCGTTAAATCTTTTAAAATATAAATTCATAAACCCTTAGGGGTTTTGGTTCGGGTCCATTCCAAGTTACTAGACTAGTTTAACCAAGAAGAGACACTATATCATTTTTGCATATTTTAGGGGTCTAAATTAAACCATGACTTATGAGAAGGGATGGAGATTGATTGGTTTGATACAAGTCAATTCTTCAAGTATTTTTGCACCGCCTTACTTGAAATAAGAGGAAATCTATGCCAATAATGATCTTAAGTAGCGAAAAAATAATGGAGCATAATTTTGTTAAGGAACGTAAAAAGCTGAAATAAAACTGCATAGACAACCCAAGGTTGGGAAAAGTGGAAAGGAGAAACTCAAGGAAAATATAAAGCAAGAAACCAATGTTACTCAAGGTACTGTAAAGGATCATAATGGAAAGTTCCTGTAGTTTTGGTTTGACCAAATTAACACTTTAATAGCAGAAGTTCCAAGAAGAATATTGGCATCCAGCTGTGTTGTTTATGCTATGCATAACAGGGTTGTAATGTTGGTTGGGGAAGAGAGGGGACTTCTACGAATAAATTAGTTGCACGAATCAAGGCATGCACAATCTGAATTTCAAGTTTTACTAGATAACCAATGCAATAGCGTATTATATAATCTTCGTGCATGTAGGAACTACATTCTAAGACTTTGTTCGATGATGTTTGTTTTTTTTAAAGACCATAAAAATTTGAGTTGCAAGTGACACACAATAGAAATCATTACCGTATGCTTGCCAACTCTCCACAGTTTCATAACCATTGAAAAAACACTACTGAGGTACTTTATCAATCGAATTTAGAGTAATGGTACCCTTAATGTGTAAAAAAGACACAAAATTATTCAATGAAATACAATTAAACATATCATAACAAAAATTATACATATTAATTAACCTTTTCTCTATTCTCTCATTCTAAATAAAAATACTCATTCATTTGGTTTTTTCCTGCCTTTTTTTTTGGAAAAAACAATTAATCTTGATAAACAATAGAATGCATGACAAGTAGATCCCTTCATTTTTTTGTGTTGCAAGAAAAATATTAAAGATTTCTTAATCTAACACAAACTATTGCTCTTCAAAATTCATCAATAACATAAAAAATTTTAGAAATTCTTTACAGAACTTTAGAAATATTCTGGAGCTACTGCCAAAATGGAATATCTTTTTGTGTCAATAGAATGGAACTTAATGCATGTTTCTAGCGAATTCAAGTGTATCAACAGACATGCAGTCAGTTTGTGAGGAATAACAGATAACAATTTTGTATTTGCAGTACAATGACTAAACTGGCAAGGAATATTATTTCAGTTTGCATGTGTCAACTGCAAGAGAAAGCGAGACTTGTGATTTTCTGAGGCCCTATATGACACAGAAAAAACAATGCCAAAAGAAGGTATCACAAACCAGCAAACTTCTTTTATCATATATTTCTATGCATTTCAAAATATATTGCACCACAGTGACAATTTTTTTTTTATTGGGTGATAAGTATTGTTTTTTATAGGGAAAGCTGTGGAAACAGATCAAGAGCTCCTCTATCCTATGAATTTCACAAATTCTTGTTCGTTTAAATTCCTTATTGCTTGTTTATTTTTGTAACATAACATTTGTCCTTATCTTGAAGAAACAAAGAAAGTTTGCTAAAGCTTAGCAGCATTGCAGTTGTCTTCCAGCAACAAAGTAAAAATTTAATTTCAAAGCTTATTAAAAACAAACTCAAGTGCTCGCCTTACTTTGTCTCTAAACTCTCTATGTTGAATGTATTTTCCAATGTTTGTGATGGGGACATCAGCAACGATTTCGACACATTTACCTTCAGGAGATGCCGGAGATCGACGACCACGATCATGATTTGTATTTTCATAATTTTATGGAGTAGTTTATTTTTATTTTATGTTTTTTCGTTTTTACCCTTATGGGTATTTGGTAGCTATTGTATCCCAAGGGGCATTTTAGTACTTTACTTTCTTTGTCATTTTGAGGCCTATTTATATGGCCCTTTTCTCATGTACGAGGGAGTTTTTTTATGAAATGAAAATTATCACTTTGTGTTCTCTTTGTGAGTGCATCCTCTCTCTCAAATCTCTTAGTGAGTTTTGAGAAGAGCTAGATCTCTTTGTGAGTTCTAGACCTTCTTCCAATTTTCTTTATGATCAAGTAGTGTGAAAACTCAAAGGAATTTCATCCGGATTATATTCGCTCTGAGATTTTCTCCCCACAACCTAGCTCACTCAGCATTCCCGCCGCCCCATCTTGTTCTACGGCCGGCTTCAGTGGTCCTCCAAGCCTGTGGCCGCCACCCTGCACTCGTCCTAGCAACCTGGTGCTTCCCCAGTGCAGCCACCCCTCTGCCGCCTCCCAACCTCACGGCTAACAGCCAAGCCGTGAGCCCCCAGCCCACCGTTTCCTTGCAGCCCCCTTGCCACCGGATCTCCTGGCTTTGCCCCAACCCGTGAATTCCAAATCCTGGTGTTTAATTAATTGCCTAATTAGGAATCCCTCTTAAGGCAAGGCAGTTAATGACATTTAGAGCTATTTGAAATTTGAATTCGTTTCCCTCTCATATTAAATCTATGTGGGGAAGCTACTTAAGATATAATTAAATCTGAAATTATAATTCAGATTTAATTAATTAATTTACTCCCCATGGGCCCCACTTAATTAACATTACTTCTCTCTTCCCCTCCATGTTGGGCCGAAACCCCCTCCACCTCCTCCTCTTGTCTCTCTCCAATCCTCACTTTATAACTACTTAAATACCTCTTTAATTTCCCTCCCCCTCTTTCTCTAATTTCAAATTTCAAATCTGAAATTGAAATTAGAGCTGCAGTTTTATTTGGAATCTGAAATAAACTTCAAATTTAGTTTCTTTCCCCCATAACCTCACCCGCCCCTCTCCCCTCTCCAGCCCGTGACCACCTCCTTCCCTTCAACGGATTAGCCAAAATTGGTTTTCACCTGAACTGGGTTGCTGTCCAGGACTGGAAGCTTGTGGACCTGCTGTCCAGAGCCTTCCACACGTTCAAATCTGCTGCTGCCCTGAAGTTCTGCTTGTTGTCCCCTTATTCCAACAAAATATCTTGCTGCCCAGCACTCTGGAAGACCACACTTTGCTGTCCCAAGTTCCCAGCAGCTTAGAAGAGCATTCCCCACCTGAAAGGTTGCTGTCCAAGACTAAACTGCTGCTGTCCAGAGAAATTCTGCATCTCTTCCTGCTGTCCAGCCAGTCGGGAGAGCTTCGGATGCTGTCCTAAAGTTTCTGATTGCTGTCCACCACATCAAGAAGGGTTTTGATTGCCGTCTACTTCATCTCAAGCATTCAAACAGCCACTAAAGCTTCAAGTCTTCTATTTCTTTGGGTAAACTCATCATCCGACCCTTTTATCTTTGTAGTTACTTCTCTATTGTTGTGATATCTTGATTCATGGAAATCATGCTAATCTTCTCCGCTAAAACCTAGTAATTGGATGAGTTGTGAGGGATCTTCTCATAACAACTAATCTTATTGTTAGTCTAGGGATATTTGTGGAAAACCATTCATGTACGCAACGTTAGATTGACTTGATTGTTATATGATCTTAACTCTTACCCGTGTGATCCAACCGTAAGCTCATTTTTCCGTTCTTAATGTTTTATCTCGTCGTTCAAATTATTATAAAGAAATAATTATTTGTTCTATCTAAAATTAAGCGTGCAAGCTTTCACTACGAAACCCATCATCGCATGTACGTTCCACATCAGTTTGTTCTTGTATTAGTTTGTGCGTGTAGGGCACTTTTTTTACTCTCTTGGGTGTGTGAGAAAAAAAGAGAGATAGAAACTTGTTATTGGGTACCCAATATCACTTATGAAAAGTCCATTGTCATTTTAACAAACAATAACAAATTTAAAACACAAATTGATAAGCATTTTTTCCCACATTGATAACTACCAACAATGCTTAGATTAAAAGTGAAGCTTCTTCATATTAGAAATGCATTCAAGAGCAAATTCACCATCAATTTAAATACTTAACGTATTATATATTTTCATGATTCACTTTTGTCAACTTTTCCAACAATGTGATCTCTGTCATTAAACATAAACCTAGCTTCCTATCATTTAATAGTGGGCTTCTAAACAAGAAGCATCTAATTACTCATAAACAATAGGCCTCTAATAAAACCCTGATTTCACAAATGTCCATCTTACCAAGCATACAAAACAACATGGATAAGACATTGTAATACCAAATTTGCAAGTTAATCTTCACATTGTTCAAAATTCATCCCAAGCTTTAAAACATAAAACAAATTTTCTCTTTCAATTCACTACTAATATCATCAGCTACTATTGTTGCCTTGTGCATCTAAATAAGAAGTCTCTAATTAATTGCATACATGCATCTTACAAAGCATACACAACAGCAAGTAGAAAATCAGCAACATGGCATAAGCTAAAATTCCCAACATATTACATTGCCCAATAGGCCAAGTTGCATATAAAAATTCAGTGTTCATCTTTCACCATTCCAAAGTTTAAATTAAAAACGAAATCACCTCTCTCAGTTCATTCTTAATATCCCTAGCTGCTAATGTTAGCTTGTTCATCTAAAAAATTATTCCACTTGCTTCTCTGCTAAGTAGCACTGCATTCATATTGCAACAATAAGTTTGATGCATTCATGCACCCGTTATTTACATAAAAAAGATAGAGGGATAGAGAGAGAGAGAGAGAGAGAGAGAGAGAGAGAGACCTGATCGAGATTAATGGGAACAACCCTTGCCCCCCTCCCCAAAATCGGTTGCCGGAGCTGAACCTGAAAAACAAAGACAAATGCACTAAATCATATTTCGAATCATAATATTGGATGAAGAAAACCCACCAAACAAAACAAAAGTAGTAAAACACCTGAGTGAGAAGAGCTTGAGCATCCTCTTCGCGAAAGCAGAGAAGTCCGAGTGATCTGGCCCCATTATTGGGGTCGGAGACGAGGACAAACTCGTTATTGGCGTTGCCGACGGTGTACACCGCCGTGCCGGCAAGTGTCCGGGCAACATAATCGGCGCTCAGTGCGATGTCGAAAGCGTGCCGCCCTTGGGCCGCCATAGAAAGTGCAGCGAAAGGAAATTCCGCCGGAGCACAAGTGGCAGCGAGGGCTTGGCGGCGAACGACGGCTAATCGGGTGGAGAGGTCGGCACTGAGGCGGCAGAGCTGGTGCTGGATAAAGGAAGATAGGGAGGCGAAAGGGTTAGGAATTGGAGGAGGAGATGAAGACGAGGAATCCATTGAAACTGCTGAAAGAGGTAACGTGGAGGAAGAACTCGGCATCGTCCTCCCTCTCCGTCTCTGGAATAGCAGGGTTCTCCTACCAAGCGGCTTTTGCCATCGTTTCCCTTCAAGCTGTAGGTGTAGTATAATTACTAATTAGCAATTATTAAAATAATATGAATCCAAAAGTATAAAAGATTGTTTTTTTATTAAATAGTACTGATATTATTATAAATATAAATATTATTGCGTGCCGAAACATTCACAACCGCGATAGGGAGATAGTGACTAGTGAGTTAAGTCCTAACATTGCATGAAGATTTAGTATTAATACATATAGCAAGCAATGGAGGTTGGAGGATCACAATCGGCCAACAACGAAGGTTAGAAGGACTATAGTCAAGCAGTAGTGATCAAAGGCCCGTAGTCAAACAACAGTGATTGGAGGATTATAGTCGAGCAACGATGGTTTGAATATTGTAGTCAATGGGTGACTAAGATCGAAGAACGGTGGTTGGTGGGCAACAAAGGTTAGAAGGATCATAATCAGTGGGCAACTAAGGTCGGAACAACCTTAATCAGGAGATGGTGGGTTTGAGGCCTTACTAGGCAATGTTGGTTTGATGACAATAGTTAACAGGTGACTGAGGTCAAAAGAATCGTAGTAGGATATCAAAGGTTAAAATTTTATAGTTAGCTTGCACGAGAGGTCGAAAAGATTTTGATCGATGAGTGACTGAGGCTGAAAGGATCATAGTCATGTGACTGAGGTTGAAAGACCATGGTCGACAAGCAATGGACATCGGAAGGACAATAGTGGGGCGATGGTGGCCCAAGGATGGGAGTCAGTTGACAGTGGTTCGAGTATTGGAAAAAGGCAACAGTGGCCTGGGTAATGAGGAGGTTGCAAAAAAAAAACATAGTACGTTGGCGAGATCGGAAGGATGAATGGCGACAGAGGTTGGAAGGAATATGGTCGAAGGGTGGCAAAGGTCATAAGGATCGTGATCGACAGGCGACAAAGATCAAAAGGACTATGTTTGACGAGCGAAGAAGGTGCAAAAAACCACAATCAGGAGACTGAGGTCAAAAGACTAGTCGACGAGTGAAGGTTAAAATGATCATAGTTAGCAAGTGATAAGGACAAAATGATCATAGTCGGCAGGCAAAAAAAGTTGAAAGTTTCATGGTCGACGGGCGACATAGACCAAGAGTTGTGTAGTCAAGCTACTGAGGGCGAAAGTGTGATGCCCCAAGATATAAAGTTAAAAAAATATGTACATTTTTTTTCTATGCATCAACCAAAACTTACTAATTTCGTGAACATCATAAAATATAAACATATGTTACTATTCATTCTATATTTGCATGTCGTTCGATGCATATAAAAAAAAAAGGAAAACCAATAAATGCAGGAAGAAAACCTAAGCCTGTTGCCCAAATCTATCTCACTCCACTAATTCTTCACACTTACCTAAAAATATGTAAAAAACATATAATGAGCACAAAGCCCAGCAAGTTATCAATCCCTATCACTAAAATCAATGCACAAAATAGAAACACTAAGCATTAATTCATATTCATACAAATAGTGGTTTTTTTATTTTTTCTATATCAAATGAATCAATTGTATCACATTTATCGTATATCATATCAGTACAATAACAATCTTGTTGCGTGTCTTATTACTTAATCAACATCACCATATATCATTTACATGCACACACACAAACACACATATGTCATGGGGCCAACCCAACAATAACCAATCTCATTCATCATTATTTATATGTATTATTTATCTCGTCTATCATGTGTCTCATATGTTATACGTCTTATCTATCATTTATCATCAATCTTATATGTCATCTATCATCAATCATCTTTCTCATATGTCATCGATCTTATTTATCATCCGTCGCAACCCAACCCGACAAAAACTCACTACTGGGACATGTCTTATCATGCTGAGCTATAACATGTGAAGCCTATGATTTAGTTTTGAAAATTTTTCACATTTTCTTTCAATATATTTTAAAACAAACAGTAGGCTACAAAGCTACTAAAATATCCAAAATGTTGAAATAAATTTATCTGCAAAATATCTTTGTTTTCATCATTAAAATATATATACAATAGTAATACTACATTTCATTGCTACATGCAATAGAAAAATGCGCAAAATATAACAAAAGAAAGTCATGACTATACAAAAATCAAAATAGAATAATTGTTATACAGACTCAGATCAGATCCTAAATAGCTACTCAACTAGACATTTTCCTTTCTCAAACCCTGAAAATATAATACAAACCCATTGTGAGCTAAAACAACTCAACATGCCACAAATACATTTCTAGATTTCTAAATATTTATTTTATTAAAAATCCATTGATTATTAATGAGCTGAACTAATCAGAAAAATAATAAAAGTTATCAATACTTTAGGCAAAATACACAAGCACTTCATATATCATTTCCAACATACAAAGTTCAATAACATTGAGCCAGTAGATAGAGTTCAATAATTTTAAATAACATATAGGGTTCAAAAAACTATGAGTGACACATAGAGTTCAACAACTTTGAAGCAGAGTGTGCATATATTACCAAAATTTAACTTCCTCCACCCCTTTCAAATCGACACAAAATTACCCATTTCAATCAATTAAAGATATATTTCAATACATTGCAGTGATTAATACGTAAATAAGCACATTCCATAATTTGTCAAAATACTCTTCCAATATATAAAAGAAAAATATACTAAGTAAAAATACCATTTTAAACACAACCAAACTACAAAAGATCTTTTAGAGCAGTAGTTTAAGACTATAATTATATTATAATATTAATTTTTAGAATCTGAATTATTTTTTAATCAATAAAAGTTACATATATTTCAAAACTCGCGTTGCAAAATTCCCAAAAAATATTCGAAATTTTAAAAAGCTCACTATATATAACATAAAAAAAGTTACGCATTTAAAATTTTATTGGTCGTAGTTTCAATAACAAAAATATAAATTTGATTAAAAAAAAAAACTTAGTATTTTTAAAACTGAGATAGACATGATATGACTTGTCTCGATCCAGACAGCTTTCAGAACTTGGCTAGCAGCTAAAAATGATTTGAAGCAACTCAAATCCTATATATTTTTATTTCCAAAATCCATCTCCCTCTCTCTCTCCAATGCCGATTGCTAAAGAAATGAATGGTACGAAATTGTAGAAATTTATATTTTTAATATAAAATTTTGGATCAGAACTAAGGCGCTCCTTTAAAAATTCACAGTTCTCATATTTCAGAATCACAAAGGATGAGGAAAAAAATTCAGATTTCACAAACATGCATTCAAATTCTAAAAACACACTCCAAAATATATGAAGACCTTTTTTATGCACACCAATAATGTCCAAACACAAATGCACATGCAAATAAGTTCAAATATGAAAAATCAACAGGTTACTTGACTTTTAATCGAGTCAAACCGGTTTGAACGATACTTTGATCCCAGAGGAGCCAAATCATCTATCATCAACCATCTTTATCATCTATCATTTGTCATTTATTTTATCTATCATATGTCATGATCATAAATGTCATACATCATATATCAACAATTTTATCTATCATTTATCACCAATCGCATATATCATATATCATCGATCTTATCTATCACCTATCTTTACTCATATTTATCATCTATCATCAGTCTTATCTTATCATTTATTATTCATTACATCTATAATTTATCACTAGTTTTATATGTCATATATAATTGATTATATATATCATCTATCGTTGGTCTTATATGTCATATATTATTGGTCATATCTATAATCAATAGGGCTGTCAAATTTGGATAATGGGTCGAGTTCGGGTCTAACCCATAACTGTCTCAATTTTATTTGACCCAACAAGTTTTAAAAAATGGGTCAATTTTTCAGAACCGACCCACCGCAAGTGCCAACCTGTGGCGTGCATTCGTTGTCAAATGAGGCATTGCCAACGCCGACTAGACCGGAAGGAATGTCGTTTAATGACAAGCATCTTCAGGCAATGTTGAGCTACCAAATGACAGTGGGAGAGCTTTGCCTCCTTCAATCTTCCGCAAATGTTCACTGACCAGAAGCCGAACCTGTGCACGGGAAATGGTCGGCAATACTCTATGGGCTTAACTAAGCAGGACGCACGACTGAGCCAAATGATGTTTTAATGTGACTGACTAAGCATTTGAGATGGATATGACTAAGTAGGACGATGTGACAGATGATGCGATTGGGCGAGAATCCAAGATAAATTGGGTTAAATTTTAAGTTTTCGGGTCAACCCGAATCTGACTCGGTTCAAGTCAACCCAAACCAGAAATTTTCAAGCCAATTTTAGGTCAGGTTTTCAAGTCGTGTTAAATATTGACACATTTTGATAATTTTAAAATTTAATTTAGTTGTATTTTTACTAATAAATGCATCAAAAAATGTGAAAAAAAAAATTATGTGATGTGATGCCGGCGCCAATGGGCGACCCTGCTGGGGTCTATGGGCTACCGAGGTGGGATTTTACTAACAAAGCTATACAGATATATAAAAATTTGGATTGATAGCCAATATGATAAAATCAATATATGCCTATAATTCATTTGGTTTCAGTTTTAGCTTCAATTTTAGTTCATTTTTAGTTTTCCGTGCAATACTTTTACAACACTTTATTTTTAGTCAAGAAAAGGATTGTAATAATTCAAATATGTGTGTGTGTGTGTCACCTATCAACTCCCTCACTTGATTATTTGGCCAGAAAGAAATGAAAAGAGGGAAAGAACATAGATGAGAGAGGAAGATCTTTGAATCATATTTATCTATCATTCATGTTAATGATTTTATTTTATTAATTTAAATGATTAATCAATTACTTTTGTTTTTTAATGATTTTGATTTATATAGAATTTATCTATCTTAAATTATAAAATATGCATTATCTTTTGATATCCTGAACGATTTTATATAATTTTATTGTATTTTAAATGAAATATTATATAATAGTTGATACATAATATACTAACTCCACGTGTTACTGATTGAGAGTCATAAGGAGTTGAAGATTGATTAGGAGTTAGAAGGAATTTGGACAACTGATTCACGTGATTCAAGGGGAGTATAAGGAGTACATTGATTGATATTTATAAGGGGCAACTGATTGGGAGTCATCAGTGCAAGAGCAATATACCCTTAAGATACACTTATTAAATATATGAATATTGATACCTATATTGCTACGAACATTATACTGATATTTGTGGTTGATGATATAATGATAAATTGATACATATAATTAGTATAAATATGTATATATATATATATATATATAATTTAAAATATATTGTTCTATTTTATCTTTCAATTGTAAGATTTTCCACTATGTATTAGTAAGCTTTGGTTAAATTATTAAAATGAAAGACATGTAATTCTTCCAATATAAATATTAGAGTGTGACAAGGATAAGGAGTGAGCTGAGTTGTTTGGATAACAGGCTCTGATCGATGTAGTAGGTATGTTTTGTACGTTAGTATTTATTTTTGTAGGCTTGACTTTTATTTTGTTATTCCATTTATTATCAAGTGCTGTTGTAAATAGATTTCACATTATATATATATTTGGATGATATATAGAAAATTATTTTGAGATTTAGTAGTCTTGCGCTTTATACTACATTATGTAACGACTCTATGTAGTATATAAACTGACAGTTTTTTTAGTACTTCTCCAACCATGTATTGGGGTCAGTCTTGTCACAATTGAACACAATAATGCTTGTACAATTATAGGTCATATTAGGTGGGGTTGTGGCAACTAGAGTCTTGTGTTGTTATGGAATGGGACAAAGTTTCCAATATTGGGGACTACTTCAAATCCTATGTAGAATGGTGGTGAACCATAATATTATCTAAACCCTAAATTATATCCGTTGTAATGGTGTAAATAACCCCTTAAGAATGCTCAAATGTAGGTTAGAAGGAGCACACATGGAGTACCATTTGGTGATCCTGTCAAACTAAATGGGATCATGTGGATGTGATTATGACAATGAGTGGGTCCCCAAAGCAGCTGTGCCTATAGATGGATAAAGATCAATGTGAATATTTTTTTTGGTAAATGTCTGTTAATATTTGTTAATGTTAATTTGATTAGCATTTATGAATCTTAGAATGCTCACTTGGGTCATATGAAACTAAGGTTTAGATTGAAGAAATGAAAATCCAGAGTTTGAAATTTTCTTTATGGGTGTCGTGGTGCGAGTGTTCGTAGCGTCGTGGCATTAAGCTCTTGGGAAATGGAGAAAAGTAGGATTTGAGTGAGCGTTGTAGCGCTGGTCTTAATTGAACATATTCTTGGAGAATTTGAAAGGTTATCTAGTGGCACTATAGTGCTCGGAAAGCTAACACCACGACGCTAGGTCAAAGTTTTTAAAATATTAAAAATTGTCATTCCGTTTTCTAAACTCATTTGCTCGGCCACCTTGTCTCAGAAGAAAGGGAGGAAAGGGAAAGGGTGGAAGGAAAAATAAAATATTTTAAAGGATGTGAATATTTTTTTTGGTAAATGTCTGTTAATATTTGTTAATGTTAATTTGATTAGCATTTATGAATCTTAGAATGCTCACTTGGGTCATATGAAACTAAGGTTTAGATTGAAGAAATGAAAATCCAGAGTTTGAAATTTTCTTTATGGGTGTCGTGGTGCGAGTGTTCGTAGCGTCGTGGCATTAAGCTCTTGGGAAATGGAGAAAAGTAGGATTTGAGTGAGCGTTGTAGCGCTGGTCTTAATTGAACATATTCTTGGAGAATTTGAAAGGTAACACCACGACGCTAGGTCAAAGTTCTTAAAATATTAAAAATTTTCATTCCATTTTCTAAATTAATTTGCTCGGCCACCTTGTCGGAGAAGAAAGGGAGGAAAGGGAAAGGTTGGAAGGAAAAAAGAAAACATTTTAAAGGCCAAACTTCAGAATTGTCTGTTTAACAGGTTTGAAAAATTTATAGGCTCAAGGTAGGCAACCCATACCTTATTTTCAATTTCAATTCCCAAGTGATTATAAAAAGATACGCTCAAAAATGTGTTTTTCTTGAATTTGAAAAATACTTCATTCTATAACTTTTAATATATATTATACTCTCTGATATGGATAATTCGACTATAAGAATACAAAATTTTATCGTTTAGTTTACTTTGTGTGAATTTATGAAATACATGACTAATTGAGTCGCTTTTGAACCTTTGTCCTATTAGTAAAAACTGTTAATTTATAATTTTATACATTCTCTATGAATTTGATAAAATTCTAAAAAGTGTTAATTTATCATATTTTGCTATTTTTCATTTTGAACCGTTAATTGAACTTTGTTATGGGGGAAAATGTTGACCTATTGAGTTTGTACTCACTTTGTTGTTTAAAATATTCCAGGCAAAGATAAGAGTCCTACTTAGTAGATCGAGTTTGATAGTAAGCAAGAAATTTGATTTTATAAGGTACATATGATTTTGTAGTTTAGATAATTCTTTAGTCTTTTGATGTGATCATCGTAATATGAACTATTTGTTATTTAAGTATTTTGGAAAAATATTTTGTATATATTGTTTGAATGTATGTTTTACTTTAATTTGGATGATTAACTGGTTTTAGTATAATAATAAATTTAATTTATAATTAATAACTGCATAGGAAAATATATTTAAATTCATCCATTAGATCTTAGCCTCTTGGGACGTGACACCCCCACCATTAGTGGCTTTCTTACTGCTTATTAAAGCATCTTTCTAGTATAAAAATTTTAATTTTTAAAATAAAAAACTGCTTTAAGAAGCAATAAGAAAGCCGTCACAAACGAAGCCTTAGAATGATATTAGAAATGAGATACTAATTTTTAAATACTATTCAAAACTTATCATAACCTTGATTAAAATATTTTCGACGCACGATCAAACATTCTCCGAAGCTTGTTTCTATTTCAGAATCAAAGTCAAACAATTGAAAAAAAAAAGCTTTGATCTTGATTTGAAGATGGTTCAATCATGGTCAAATTTTTTTTGATAAATGTTGGATTGTTCTAAAAATTGAAGATGGTTCAGTCTAGACTATCTTCAATATCATATTTTATGGTGATACACAAATAGTAAATTAGGATATTCTATAGTGACATAAATGTGATCATATTTAAATACTTTATAAGAATTATAAAGTTGCATTTGCATCAAAAGATTTGGCTACTATGTTATAGTTGTAGTGATTGTATTTAACATATCATTATAAATATTATGGCAGCTTTAATTTAATATAAGACTACTTATTAAAATATTATCATATATAGTGTTTGTCTTATAATTTATTATGTTATTTGTTATTATTGCACTATACTATAATATGCTTTGTTGTTCAATAAATTTAAACTTCTTGAAATATTGAACAATCTTTATCCAAATCTACAACTTAATTATTTTATAAATTTTAATAATATTTTTAATTAACTATCAAATATTAATTTTAAATATTGAAATTTAGATTTTTATTATTATTAATTTAAATAATAAATTAGAAATATCTTATTTTTTTAGAAATCTAAATTTTCTACATAATTAATTCTTTTAAGTTAACATTAAGATAAAAATTAAGATAAAATTCTCATACATAAAATTATGACATATTTATATTTCAAATTATTTTATAGAGATAAAAATATTTTTTAATTATAATAGATTTAATTCAAAAATTTGATAAATAATATTAATGATTAAAAATATGTAAAATGAAATATGAGAAAAAATATGTTAGGAATATTCTTTTTTTGGTGTTAGAAAATAGAATTTTCTTGAAGACAAAATACTGTATTTTAGTGTACTACTGCATTTTAGAGTAAAAAATGAGTTTTTTTTTTGCATTTAGTCCGGCGCCATCCCTTAAATGTTAAATAAACAAACAAATAAACTAAAAAATCGATCTTACCCGCCCTGCCGCCAAATTTTGCAGCTCCAAAAAGAAACCACTTCAGCGAACTCCGTTTAATTGCCGAAGTAGAAACCCAGATCTACGAGAAACCAAAAATGGCTTCGGGAGATGAGGGATCCGGCGGCGAAGAGCCCTGCTGTAGCTCCGACTATGGAGACGACTATGAAGACGACGACAACAATGAAATCGAGGTGGAAGAAAAAAGGCTAATCGACGGTGAAGGCGATGCGAGAGCAGTTTCCGCGGCATCTCCACCGTCTGATGCTGAAAGGAAGTCCTGTAACGTTTCTGCTCTCATTCGGTACGGTCCGATACGCCTCCTTCCTCGATCTTCATTGCGTTCATAGGCTTATCGAATATGGGTTTTAGGGTTTCAAGAAAATGGCGAGCGGTATCGTCTAATTCGCATTTGTACTGTTTAGATGTAGCGCATACCATGACACACACCTCTTATTTTAGGGGAAATCTCGTTGTTAGAAGGCAATCGCTTATTCCTCGAGTTCTCTCGGTAGCTGATGGAGCCGTGGTAGCTCGAAAGCCATTCAAACCCCCATGCACTGATGGTTATGAAGATCAGAACAAACTTGCGCGACGGCTTTTTGCACGGAAAAGGTTTGTCCCTTGGGGTTCATCAAGGCCACCATTGGTTGCTATTCACAATCTCTTAACTTCTCCACCCGATATTGAGAATGAGACGAAAGAAATGGATGTTCCTCTTCCAGCTGGCGTTGAGCCTCTGATTTTATGGGACAATGAAGGTTCGGGAGAACCTGCTCAGATCACGGTTGATCCATCACTTGTTTGCTATCTTAGACCTCATCAGAGGTATTGCTATTTTCCATTGGAATTATTATTATTATCTTATTGATATTTGCTTTTGAAATTATCATTATTTTAGATATAGTCTTATGTACTTTGCTCTTTTGTTAAAGCTAGCTAGACACTTTTGAGGCACACTTTGAAGAGCATATATTACTTAGAACTGTAATAACGTGATAGTTGATTCTATAATTCTCTGTCGAGACTTGAATATTAGATAGTAAAAATTATGCATCTTGAAAAATATGCATCATGGCATAATATCTTTATGCGGTTCTTGATTTTGTTTGAGAACTTGGTAGTAGAACAAAGTTTGGGGGAATTCTCGTGGCTCTGTGGAATGATGTTGACCAACTTGTTGGTTGGCTTTCTTTCCTTGTGGCGAGCACTTCTCCTGGGAGGAGGGGTTGTTCAAGTTGAGTATTACAATGAGAACCTATTATATACCTGTGAAGTACTTACATGTGATGCACAACATCGAGCCATTAGCATACACTCATACCTTAACATGATAAGACAAAATAAAATTATTTAAAACAAATCCTAACCAAAGAATTGAGGAGAAAAAACAACAACAAAGACATAGGAAATATTAAACAAGCACAACTTGGAGCTGAAAGAGGAAGAGAAAAAGCTTTTGTTTTTTCTCACCAATCTCTTAATTTATAAGCAATAATTGCTTTAAAAGTACCATGCATAGAAACGGATACAACATACCTTTTCTCCTTTTTTAATGAAATCATAAGTGCATGAACTATGTGGAGAATAAATAGGCTGTCGCTTAGCCTCAAACTTCAACTATATGTTCATGTATGAATTCATTTATTTAAATTTAAGCATTAAGTTTTTTTTTTTTTAAATCAACAATCTCGCAGAAGTGGTGTCAACGCTGCACAGATTTCTGCCCTCGACTAGCTTGCAATCCTTTGGATTGCCAAGTTGGCTAGAGGTTGGGGACCACCAACATTATTTAACATCTATTTATACTAAAATGTTATTGTTATAATAAACAAACATCAAGAAGCAAGTTTGTTAAAAAAAAAAAAAAAATTAATGTGAAGTTAAAATTAAAACCGTGGAATTATACTATTATAGGTGTAGTTCATTATTCAAGTAGAAGAGGTTAATAAAAAATAGCTGTTGCACTTGGATGAATGGTTAAGGGAATAATATACATAATCTTAAAAAATTATAGGTGTCAATACGTAAGGTTTATGGGAAAAGTGAGTAGATGGAGTGAAATGAAAGACAATATGATAAGCGTTGATGATATGAAGCTTTTCTATCTTGAAGCGGTTTATTACATATCTAGACTTGTACCTTTCTATGGTTTCATCAAACGTAAATGTCTTTTTGAAAATCCATTTCATTCTATTGCTTTATGCTCATGGGGTAAATCAGTAAACACCTCGCCTGATTTTGCAAAATAGATCTAATGTAACTATTTACTGCCTCACATAACATAGTATGCGGGCTTCTATAAAACTTTCTGCCTTTGTATATGTGGTAGGAGTGTCCTCTACCAGAAAGAAATGTAAATTCGTTCCTATCCTATTTCTTATGCCCTTAATGGTTCTTGATGAGACCCATCAACAATTTAAATCATGATAGAAGTGGAAGAACTCAAAGGATTATCTTTACAGATGCTAGGAACATTTTTTTTTTGAAGGGAAAGGTGCTTTCAATGGATGTTGCTTTTTGGCTTCAATAATAATATTGTTTGAGATGTCTCTGGACTAGAAGTTGATATTATTATCATTAAAAGTCTTCAGGCCTTGATATCTTGAGCATAGCCAATAAAGATAACATTAATTGCTTTGGGACCTATATTTTTTCTCTTGGTTCCCTGAATATATATCGTAGCGAGCATCCTCATATACTAATAAGAAATTTTAACATTGGGGATTTATCTTTTAAAAATTTGTTAATAGTCTTATTTAAATATTTAAAAGGGAGATGATTCAAAATAAAATATGCAAAAATAAAAAAAAGAATGTCCTCCCAAAGTTTTCTGAAAGACTAGAGCTGATAAGAATAGCATCTTTCATGTTCATAGAGTTTTATTTTTGTGTTTTGGAAAATCATTGGACTAAAGTGAATAAGGGGCCGTCTCTTTAATCTTTATGAATGAGACATTCTCTTCACAATATTTATTCATAGCAAAAGAGGCATTTTCACAAAATACAGTTATTAATTTTATTTTCTAGTTGATTCTAAATTTCAACAATATATACTCTAAATCTATTGAGAACTTTATCTTTACTTTTAAAGAAGACAATAGTATAAAAAAGAGTGTCATCATCAGTGAATATTACAAAATATCATTTGTCAATAATTAATTGAGATTCTATATTTCTATGTGAATCATTTACATCACTGTGAATATGCTTTCTAAATTTGGGATACTGTGAGCAGATACAATTTCTATAAAAAATATTGATTTTTTAAAAGGGATTCGAACAGTCATCTTTTTGGATCCACATGAGTTATAACAAAGTTCTGATATAAGCCAACAAGAATATAAATAAAATAAAAAGACATGAAAGAAACTATTTAATCCTCAAAAAACATAATTATAATAAACTACTACAAAATACTAAATATAAAAAAAAATATACTGCTGGTAATTCTGCTCCTGAGGTGGCGGTCCACCAATAATGCTTGTAGGACCTATTGAAAAAGTCAACGGGTGAGTTTGATAAATCAAACTCAGCAAGCAAATACTATCTATAAAAGCATAAACGACAAAGGAATGAAGCATGCAGTATGAACAATCAATGGGTGGAAACAACAATCTAAAGCCACTAAATCAAACAAGTAATGTCACATACCATGTTTCCTACAACATCAATCCAATATGCCATTATCATTAATGTATGTGTCAAACTACTATAAGTGTAGTTTATTTTAATGCCTGACAATGCAATAATATTAGGTATCATCATAACCCCAAATGACTTATAGTCATTTATTATTTTCAATTCACATTTGTTTATATTTTCTTATATTTAAACATATAAATTTATTGTTAGTTCATCATTACCAATACCGGGAAGGTAAACACTAACCCAAAGAAATCCAGTGATTTTCTATTGAGTCGTCATTGTGGGGGTCCGTTGACCTCGACTAGCCAAAAACCAATAGGTTCTACCGACATACATACAATCTGACGTGAAACAATCCATGCGAAAATGATTTGCTTAAAGAAGTTTGCACGTTTAGATCTAGAGGCAATAATAAGCAAGATCTTATGCGGAATTGAACGATAAGATAAATATTAACGTAGTACCTAGCTTATGTTAATTCACATGCATAGAAGTTAAGTTTAATAGATAGTCAGCTTAATCCAACATTGCATACATGGATAGTTCCAACAATGGATTCCAATACTAACAATAAGATTAGTCGCTATGAGAAGGTCCCTCACACAACTCATCCAATTACTAGGTTTTAGCGGAGAAGCGTTAATATGATTTTCATGAAGATAATGAATTCACAATTCAAGGATGCACTATGAAGATAGAGAGTCGGTGTCAAATTTACCCAAAGACAAGAGATACGCGCTCCGGCAAAGTTGTTTGGTAGTTGAGAATGAAGTGGGCAGCAACCGTGAACATCCTCGAACTAAGGAATAAAGTCATACAACGTTCCGGTGGTGCTTTGATGGTTGGATCGGAAGTAGTTGGTGCTTGAAAGCTTCTTGGATGACTTGGACACCCACAATACAGCCGGTTGCCCTTTCTGGAATTCCGAGGCAGCAAATTGTGGTCTTCCAAAGTGCTGCGCAGCTAGATATCTTCGCTGGCATAAGTGGACAGCAAGCTGGTCTACTTAAAACAACAATTATAAGGCTTCCAATTGTTGTGGATGCAATGGCAAAGGCTGGAATTTTTTGGCTGCAGGTTTAGGAGGTAGGAAACTCAATGTTTTCAGATAGGAAAACCATGGGGGGGGGAGGGTGGAGAGCCGTTTCAAATTTCAGATTTTTGAAATATGAAATTACCATTGATGAAATATGGAATTAACTATGTGAGAGGTGACATTAAAGAGATATTTAACTGGTGGTGAGGTGGCAATTAGAGAGAGAAGCAATGGGGGTGAGGTGGCCGGCCATAGGGTGAAAGAGAGAGGCTTTGCATTAACTAAAGTGGGGCCCGCAATCAATCACAGATTTTAGTCAAAATCTGAATGGAAATTTCAGGATTTTAAATCTGAGAAGTTTCATAATAAGAGGGTATTAATTAAGATTAATTTGAATTTCAAATTCAAATTGAATTCTAATTAATTTGGGTGCCTCAAATTAAGGAACTAAATAGGAAAGTAATAAAGGACTTCATGAAAACTGACATTTGACTTCATGATTCAATGGGGGTGGCCGGCGGCAAGCCTGAGAGGCTGCACGGGTGGGGCGGCCGAGCCTCTTGGCCGGTGGTGAGGTGCAGTCGGCGGGTAGCAGGCGGCCAGCTGGGAAGGGGCGGCAGGATGGAGGATTGGGGGGAAGTATTGTGAGGGGAAATCCAAGAGAACGAAGATCACGGTCTTGGGAATGGATTAAGGCCGGCGGGTAATGGAGGATAAGGAGAATTGGGATGGCGGAGGTAGACCACGAGCCATGGACTCTTCCGACGACTAGCGGGTATTGCTTTTGCCCTCACCTTGGGCTTTCCATAGAACTCACACAGAGATCTAGGAGAGATGAACTCACTAAGAGATCTTCACGACGTAACTCACAAAGAGAGCACAAGAAAATTTTTTTTTTTATTCAATAATCATCATCCCTTTCCAAGAGGAAGGGGAGGGCTTAAATAGCCAAATACATGAAGGAAAACAAAAAAAGACAATTGCCCCTAGGGCAAACATAAGACAAAGCCCTCAAGTGAGGGTAGAAATGGAAAAGTACAAATAACAAATAAAATACATCAAAATAAATAGACACGATCGTAGCCGTTGATCTTCGATGTCCTCATCACAATCATACAAGATAAATGCTTTTATGAATAACCAACAAACATCTCATAAATCAACATGTCAAGCATGATTTGCATAATTAGTATGATTTGCAAGAATGAGGAATATTTCTTTTAAACAAACTAAATTACACTTTTCAATGTATAAATCTAGATTGCATGAATAGGAACCATGAGCAATAAATCAAGGTATAGTTATGCTTGACCAATGTTGATTCATTATGAACGATAACGAATGTTACTACAGGTATGATTATGATAAGGAATTCAACATAGGACTGGTAACCTAGATAGTTATAAAAGAGTTCTAATACAAATACCACGGATTACACTAAAAATAAATAGCAATTACGTACTATGATTGCCACAAACTCTGACCTCAAAGGCGGCTCGCTCGACTCCGCCAAGCCACAATCCTACAAATAGAAAAACCTGAACAATATTAAGCATGTTCAACGATGCAGAAAGAAGAGTAACCCCATCAACCTTAGCCACACCTTAAACACCAAAATTAATTATGAAAATACGATAAAAAAATTATAACTTAGGGTTTGGTTATTTAGAACATTAAACTTAGATAAAATTTCATCTCCAATGCAATGTAAAAACTCTTATGAGAAATTTAATGCTATGCGAAAAATAATATAAATCAAATTTAGCCTTCAAATAGAAATTAAGAGAACTTTTTCATAAATTATAAAAAACATGAGGAGCAAGAGGGAAGGAAAGAGTAAAACTCATTGTGCAAAAGGAGGAGTTTCAGACGAGTTCGTTGAGAGCTGCTATTGCGAGGAAGAAACAAAGAAGGAAGAGGAAGGAGAGTTTTCGGTGGCTGCGGGGGGAGAAAATAAGTAAAAATTGATGCCCTAAGTTATCTATTGGGTTAAATTGGAGAGAGGGAGGTTGGCAAGAGCGGGAGAATTTCAAAACGGCAAAGAAATTGCATGATTTGCGTGATTGGAGGAAGAAAATGACTGGGAGCCACTCGAGTTGGAATATAACACATATCACTTATAGGTGAACAAAAATATAGTTACTTTTATTGTGACAATCTATTAATGAAAGATTTATAGTTTACCAGATAGATGGAATCTTTACCGTAATTCTATTATGCAAATATGTGAAGTTATTATTTGTAGAACTAATCTAAAATTTAAAGATGTACAGAACTATCATCTATAAATAACATTTTAAAAAATTGTTAATTCATTTTCAATGCATCAATTGTTTTCGAAGAAATACAAATGCAGTGATCCCTGAAATTGCGTTCTCCACTCGCCAGCTGTCATTGAACCCTTCATTGTAATACCTCCAGTTGCTGCTTTCTGCCACTGTTCTTCCCTTTACACTGACCATCAACTGCAGCCATGACCCGCAAGTCACACACGCCAGCTGCGTTGCCCATTCACTGGGACCACCGCCACCTCACCAATTTAAGGGACTTCCCATCTCACTGCCCGTTGTTCACAATGCACGGATATATCCCTTTGCTGGTTTTAATTTTGGCACTTTAATCTTTCCTATTGTAATTATCTTGTAGTTATTTCTATCCATATTTTTCAGTCCCTATTTTTTCATAAATTTTATTAGATATGTTCATATGATATTATGAATCAAGTAAACACGTCAGAATAAACAAAACTTAGCAAACTCTCCATTTCTTTTCAGTTTTCAGTATGATTCTTTGCTCTAAGATTGCTTAAAACCCAGTAGTATAAATAAAAAATGTGGTCCTTGTAGTGCAATCTATTATGAAATGAAAAATTAACTGGAGTTATAAGAAAAGGAAGCCTGATTAGAAGGTGATAGTAATCTCTAGAGAATATTTCTTTTGTGCAAAATTTGTTGTCATTGCCGTTCTAAAGGTAAATCATAAGACACTTCTCTCTCAAGTGGAAGTTCCCTTCCACAAGAGGAAGGGAAGAAGCTTTCATTTTTTCTCCAATCCACAGTCCTGGTTTATAAACCCTAATTGGTTATGAGTAGCATGCATATACAAACGTTTTCTCCCATCTTTAATCATAAATGCCCTAACTACTTGCGAGAGATGACTTAACAGTTGCATGCATGCACAGACTGAAGCTTAGCCTACACCTATAGTCCATAACATTGATGTATGCATACAATTTTTTTATTATTGAAGCATTTAAAAAATATAAACCAACCCAACATATTTCTTGTGACAATGTAAAGATGAGCTCTTTTCCATGAGTGCAATTTTAATCATATTAATTTCCGGTACTGTTGATGCAGAGAAGGAGTTCAGTTTATGTTTGACTGTGTTTCTGGGTTATATAGCGCTGAAGGTATTTCGGGATGCATTCTTGCTGATGACATGGGGTAAAAGGAACCTTTGACTCTCTGCCATCAAAATATTGTTTTTTTTTTTCTTTTGCCTACAATTGTCAACTTTTTTCCTTAGATGATTAAGCACTTCTATATCTTCTTAAATTTATGCATCAACGTTTTGCAGGCTGGGAAAGACTCTCCAATCTATTACATTGCTTTATACCCTTCTTGGTCAGGGCTTTGATGGAAAGCCTATGGTTAGGAAAGCTCTTATTGTCACTCCCACAAGTCTTGTTAGTAACTGGGAATCTGAGATTGACAAGTGGATTGGAAGAAAAATTCAGTTAATTTCTCTTTGTGAAACCTCAAGGGCAGATGTCCTATCTGGGATCGACAGTTTCTTAAGGCCTAGCAGCACTATGCAAGTTAGTCTTTTTGGTAGATTATTCCTTGTATTTTATTCAAATTTGGCTTTTACTTTTTTGAACGCAGCATAGCAGCTTTAAGATTTTAATATGTTGGTGTTTTTGATTTAAATGATGATACATTCTCTTTTTCAGGTACTCATCATATCCTATGAGACGTTTAGAATGCATTCATCAAAATTTGAGAAGAATGGAAGCTGTGATCTTCTAATATGTGATGAGGCTCACCGTTTAAAGAATGACCAGACATTAACAAATCGGGTATGTGCTTAACCATTACTTTTGACTGCCTAATATTTTTCTGAATATGCCTGAAAACATTAGATTTTTTTGCTTGGAATTATGCTTGAAATTTCCTTACACAAGGAGATCCACTGTCTGCAATAATGATAATTTATATTGTTGTTGGCAAAACAATAATGAAGTTTTGAAATAATGTCCATGAGCCGACGTTTCATAACTCCTGCTCGTTTCACTAATAATTGCCCATTTCGTTCAAACGAAAGACGCGTGACTCTAGCCCGTGCAAAAAGAATGTGAGTGCTATCTAAAATTTCTAAGTTTAAAATTACACGTAAAATTTATGTTTTAATAGCATACAAAGAGATCATAAAGTGCACCAATTACTTGACTCCAAATTAAACATTCATAATTTTGACTCCACCTAGCAAGTTAACAAGTCAATACTATGAATTTAAACTCGTTGACCCTCATTGATCGAAGGGTTCTTATGAAATGATGTTGAGCTGGTTGCCTAGCCCCCTCAATAGGAAGGTCACAAGTCTCGTACTAAAAAAATGATGAATAATTAAAAAATTGTTTAAGTTAAATATTATTATTGGAAATTGAAGCTACTGTGGAAAGCAAGTCAATCAATTTTGGGGATTCCAATAGATGTATGCCCCATCCTAATTAAAATACAGACCACTCTTAAATGGAACAATAAGCCATCAAACTGGATCAACCGAAAACTCCTAAATGCAACAATAATTCCTTAAATTAAATCAACGGACAACTCCTAATAGGAGCAATAAGCCCTACCCTCAAATAAATAGACATGCAATTCCTAAATGGATTGATAAGCTTCTTTCTAAAACAAAATATTCTTATATTCTAACAGTATAATCCCCAAATTCAAATCATAATAAACAAAAATCTACACTCACTCACCTAGGTCTACTCGCGATCTCTGAGAGGAGGTAACCTATGATTGTTAATTAGATTCTCTGGACACTACGACCAATGATTCGCTAGCATTGATAGATTGAGATCTTTGGTATTTCCAGGATGACGGAACCATGAGATCTTGATTGGGTCTACCTCAATCCGCCACAAACATCTCTCATTAATCGAAATGAATCTTAGATTACTTAAGCTTAAATTCAAAATTATATCGAAGTAACCCATCTTTAAGTGAAAATGCTATCGCACGTGTGGGAGAGGTAATTAACTATGAGGAATTGCGCTCATAGGAAGTTGAGATCCCAAAGCTAAATAAACCTTAATATAAACATCAAGAAAAATCTTGTTATTTAGAAATTAATCTACCTTGTAAAGAAATAAAATCCTAAGCCTAGAAGGTAGGGTTCATATCAAATCATTTTTATTGAGAGAACAATTGTTATACATAATAAATTTATATCAGATATGCTAATTATGATTCTCTGCCAGGCTTTGGCTGCTCTACCTTGTACTCGGAGAATCTTATTGTCAGGGACACCTATGCAGGTAGGCCTCTTTCTAGTTTGTTTTCACTTAGAATAACAATTTATCAAAAGTTCCATTTTGCAGAATGATCTAGAAGAATTTTTTGCTATGGTCAATTTCACAAATCCTGGTATTTTGGGGAATGCAACATACTTCCGCCGCTACTATGAAGTAAGTGAAAGGTTTGTATAGAGGAACTTTGTGCATCTTTTCTTGTGACATATTCTTACCTTGCCATTATTTTAGATTCCCTTACGCAATGTCAACATCCCATTCAATACTTTTGCTTATTGTTTTTTTTACCGGCATTAAGGCATTAAGGCAAAGTTCTAGGAGCCAAATCTCATTAAGGCATTAAGGCAAAGTTCTAGGAGCCAAATCTGCATAAGTCTCAGTTTAAATGCATATAATTCCAAATTTCAACTTTGCTTAGCATATGCCTTAAAATTGTGAAAATCTATTCAATCATCAACGTTAATCTTTTTCTAGTTGCAGCCAGGCAATTGGTCCTGCATAGTGAAGAGGCTATTTACGTATTTGCACTTGTGACCTCTAGTTTATAGTAGGGACAAGCAAGATTAAATCTTTTAGTTTTCTTGAACTATTTTTATCTGAATTTGAAATCCAGCTATGTCCAAAATCATCCCTCTTATACCAACACTAAGATTTCGTTCTTCACGTTGGTGTGTAAGATGGTCCTTTTTTAACCTATTTATATTTGGAATATTTTATTTAAGTTCATTACATTTTAAAGTGCACTTGAGATTTTAGCAATAATGAAAATAGACTTTAGATCTTCTCCTAACCCTCCCTCTTTTTTCATGATGTTTTATTTGATCTCCTGTTTTTAAGATTTACATTCTGCTTCCTCTTATTCGTTTATATACTTTTTGGTACATTCTATACCCCCTTTCCATTTATAGATTGCCCCTTCTATGGAGTAACTATCATTTGCATATATCACTTGTTATGTAAAGTAATAAACCACTTGCATGTTTTTGAGGGAAATTTAGGCTTTATGCTGACATTCCCGTTAGTCACCAGCATTGTCCAATGGATGTGGATGATTGTTGATCTCCGCACCAGTGCCAAAATCAATGCAAGTGAGTGCGATGGGAAAGCAAATCGTTCGACGCGGTGTCTCGTGTTGCAAGCTCGAAACATCTCAATGTCAAATTTATCAAAGAAGAGCCACACTTGCATAGCTCGATTGAACGGCCGCAAAATTGACGGTTGCGAAGCTGCACAAAATCATCCGAATGTTATCAAACCACGAAACAGACAATGCCGTTGTGCTTGAAACATCAAATTTGTCCCAAGAGATTGCATCTCGTGATCAATTCGAACGACAGTGATCCTAGGAGACAAAATACGAGCGTTATGCTGTGTGAAGTCCCTCTAACAACATTTGATCATAAAATAGACTTTGCTGTAATGCTGTCCAACCGGAACGTCGAAATTACCTAGAATTAACTCGTACTAGTTGAAATACAAAATTTTGTCTGTGTATGAGATGATGACACTTAGGGGAAATACACGAGAAGTAGGAATTTGCGTAAGAGTTGAGTTATAATTTCTTTTACGTTATTTCAATCAAAGTTATATAATTGATTATATAATAATAATAATAATAATAATAATAATAATAATAATAATAATATATCTCTTATTCTCTGCCCAATCTATAAAAATGATGCTTGTCACCTCTGTGTCTCGTCCTTGCCATCTTTTAAACTAATATAGTAATGGGTTGAATTAGAGGAATTTCAAATACACTAAAAATGAACTTGATGTATTGCAGATGCACAAAAATTTTACACCACCCTGGAAAAATGCAATATATAATAAATAAACTAATACATTAATGCACTTAATATTATCGTTCCTTATACACCCCTCTCCCTATTCGAACACCCAGTCTAAGTTGAAATTCACAGAAAGACACGATTGCCTTCTTGCATATCACCTGCTGCCCTTGACCTTGAACACATGCACACGAGAAGCTCCTAGTTCTTCTCCTCTGTTTGAACTACCCTGCATCTCAACTCCACTATACCCACACATGCTTAGCCCCAGCCCACACCTACTGCAGCACGGACTCCTCCCTCGGCCGCAGCCCTTACATGCTGTTTCTCGCCGTTTAACACCCAACCAATCGCAAATCTCCACACTCAATCGAGCCAACCTCATGCACTCTTTATTTTTCTTCCCACACCCAACCTCTCATCTACTTCTTGCCTAGAGCATTGCTTAGCAAACCCACCTACAATAGTCACTGACTTCTTTCTTTAATTGATCCTATTCGCTCAACCATGCAAACCTCCTCATAGCCACATGCAATCGCCTGCTGTCACCAGGGAAGCCACCTGCAGTTACCTCCACTGCTCTTCTTTGTTCACCCAACAACCACCAAGAGGCCAACTCCCTCAGCCCAACTCGAGCAGCTCCCGGATCTCCATCGTCATTTACCTGACCTTAGCCACCTTTCTCTGTCTATCAAATTCTGTCTCTACTAGTTTTCTCTTTAAAATAAAAAGGAGCTGGCTATATTTCTCTCTCACTTTCTCTCTCTCTCACACACTAAGCAAGCCATTAAAAATAGAGAGAGAGAAATATTAATTTCTCTCTAGCCTACCATCTCTCCAAATAGCCACCAAATCCTGATTTCTTGCTCTCCAATCCCTCTCTCTTATTATTATCAATAAAACGAGAAAGACAAAAGGAGAATTGTGTTTCACCCCTCGCCAATATCATCATCTTGTTGTTGTCGTCATCAACGCTTTGCTTGCAAAAGTATAACACTCGCTAAACTTATAACTCAAAATCCTTTAACGATGCGTGCTGCTCTAGAAGTGGACGCCTATATATATGCTTTTTGTAGCAGGGTAGGAGGTTAAACTCATATGCGATGTTTGCGACACATTCAATAAGCCCTATACGCGATTTTTGTAATGTGGTGGGGATACTTTAAATACCTATATGCCTATTTTGTAACACAACAGGGAGATTTATGAGTATTCAAATAGGTAATCAGAGATCTACGCGTGCTTTTCATAGCGTGGTGGGATAAAATACCCGGTCGCGGTGTCACTTGACATCAATCATACAAGCTTTTCGTAGCATGGTGGACATGTCCAACATTCCATAATGCTCCCTACGCAGGGAGAATGCTTGGAGGTGTCAAGTTTTCTAGTGAAACCTTGGATTTGAAATAAAAAAATAAAGCCCGATTGAATATTTGCACGTGGTGTCTTCTGACTCTGACGAGATCACACTTATTGATTTGTCTTTATACTTTCCTGTTTCACTAGATTGCATAAACTGTCGATTCAAGTTCGTCTTCGCCTTTGATTCCAACGAATAAATCACATGAAGTCCTCTTTTTCTCTTGTTGAAATTAAAATTAAAAAATAAAGAAAGTAAAAAAATGGGGGATCCATGTCAGCAAAGCAAAACAATACCACGTGTTTTCTTATCCCCACATCGTTGGAACAACTGTTCCCTCAGTCGTATAAAAAGAATGAAGAAACAAATAAAAAGAAATTACATTCACTCACGTTCGTTTTTGGCAATTTGATCGTCAGCTTTTTGGCAATCCCATTTGAACACGAGCTACACCGCCTGCCCTATTCACAATCTAATTCTATGATAATCAAAATTATTACCTCAACTAATGATTCCGTCGTTTCTCTTTGAAATTATCCTCTTAGAAATTTAGATTCACAGCTAAATTTTCTTTCTATTTGACAATCACATATCATTTCATCAACCAGATAAATGTAAAATAATAATTATGAATGCAAAAGAACATTTTAATTTACTTACTCTTTCTCTTGTCGTTAGAAATGAAAACTCGTTGATTTGTCTTTCCCCAAAAATTTTCTTCATTTTCTTTCTCAATTCCTTCCTCTGTCTTGCTTTAAAATAGTGATCTTTTCGTAGGATTAAATCACAGAAGAAATGTGCCTAAAAAATGAAATTGAAAAACCTATATTTTTCCTTCGGCCTGCTTTTCTCGGCTGAAGCTTTCTCACACGTTTTCCCTTACAAGAGTGAGTGAAACAGAGATATTACTCACAAGGAGTCATTTGTTTTCACTCTCGTATGTGATCCGTTGTTCGAAAACAAAAATCAAACTCTCCAGCCCTGGTTCGTGCCTGTGCTCGGTCCGCCTGGTTCGCGATTTCGTCTGCTGCCACTTTTCCCTGTTTGATATTAACTAAAGATGACCGGTTCAATTGAACCAGACGTACTAGTTCATACAAAATATAATAGAAGAAGTTGCACACTAGTCGCTCTTTCTTTCCTTGTCCTCGATCGGACCCTTTTAAACTTTTCTTGTCTTTATCTTTGATTCAAGCTAGAGTAAAACATATCGAATGATCACGACATGAATCCATTTTTGATCAAAGCAGTGGGGAGCCATTCGTTCTTCTTCTTCTGTGTTGAACAAGAACAAACAAACACTTCTTCCTTTTTGTTGAGTAGGAACGCACAATCGAATAAAACCTTCTACTTTTGTGTTGCCTTAGGATCTAATTAAAGGATTGAAAGCTTGTACCTATAATTTAATCTCAACCATAACATATTCAACCAAAGCTACTAAAATCCAAATGATAAAAGCAGTCCAATATTTTTCATTTCATCTAAATACATGTACAATAATCCAATTCAAGATAATTTATATATTAAAATAATTAAATATTGGATTACAAATAATACTTTATTAGCTCAGATCCAGACGAACCAGCCTTTATCATTTTCTAATCCACGTGGTACCTTTTTTTGAAATATAAGTGAAATTTATAGATTAAGTATAGATTTCTTTCTCTAACCCATTATAGATAAAAACATTCATTTAAAATGTTCAATAGCAATTTAATTAAAACTTAATAACATGTAAAGAACAAATAAAGTACTAACATAACATGATTTTCTAAGATTTTAATTTGTACTTGATTTCAAAGTTATTACTTATACTTTAAAGTCACTTTCACAGAGATTTCAAATATTTCACAGAACACTTGTAATCAGAGATTCACTTATACTTGGTTTTCACATTTTATCAAAGTTCATACAGAAATTCAAAAATTTTTAACATTCATTTCAAATATTACTTATGCTTAATTAATTAAATTGTTAAAATATAAAATGCATGATTATAATGCACATATCACAATGTTTGCTTACAACTCCACTTTTACTTGTATCACCCATTAATCTTCCACACCTACATATAGTGAGTGGGGCTAGAATCAAAATAGAACAATATAATATAATCTCCCACACTTGTTTTTATTAAGTGGGGCTAGAATCCCTCTTACATTCACTCAAGACAAATGGGGCCAAACTAGAATATATAGAGCCCTTTCAGTATATCAGAGAGTGCATTTTTCACATAAAAATCTCCAATGTCGTGTCATGAATAGTGCAAATATATATTCAACAATAGCTAATTTATAATTTTAATGCAGTGCTTAGATGCATGAATTGTTAGTAAAAAGTCACATTACTTATGTAACTTTATACTCTCTGAACTTTTTCCATTTAAATTTGAACTTCAGAGGGATATTTACATAAATATTTAAAAACTTTTATATAACTATTGTAATTGTCAGAAAAACCTCAATCAACTTATATGCTAAAAAAATTATGGAAGAAAAACCAATATGTGCAAATTCAACTCGTATAGTTAAAATGTTTGGGATAAAGAGTACAACACTAGACCAAAACTTGTACGATGAAAATGTTATAAAGCTCAAGAAAAATACATTTTTATCCATATATTTTAATAAAAATACTGGAATTGAAATCATAAATATGAGTTCAAAGTCTGCTTAATGCTCTAGAATATCCTAAACTGGCTCGATAGATGAAACCCAAGCTTCAACCTCTGAATTCTCTTCCTCTCTTTCTCTCCCATATTTCCACTCCTTTCTCCTCCTCTCTTCTCCTACAAAGGCTTGGGTGATTGTTTTGGAAAAATGATTTTAGATATTTATATTTTTAAAGATCTCTTACTTGGTATGACGTCGTGGGTCTCACCTCCCTAGCGCTGCTACGCTGACCCTAATCTTCTAGATTCTCCTAGAATATTTCAAACAGAAAGTGTGGCACTGTGGCTGCATTTTCCGGCGCCGCAACACCACTCTTCTCTTCCAAACATAGAGCAGGATGTCGCAACACTGCCTATCCTAGCGCCGCAACGCTTGTAGAGAAATTTTGATGACTTACATTTTCTCTTTCCCAATCACTCTAGGTTCATCTAAACTTAAAATATGTATAAGAAAGGGTTTCAAAGAGGGAATTATACCAGCGTAGGCCAAATCTTGCTAGAATTTGAAATTGTAGATATTATAACTTTCTCCTTCGTCTCCTTCAAGGCTTTTGTCCTTCTGTCCTTCGCATTGAACACAAAACCACACACCTCTTCTTTGTCGACTGAATCCGCTGATTTGCTCAAAGCCAAAGTTGAATTCACCCTTAACCGCGGGGTAGTCACATCCTTCGTCTCACTCACCCTGATTTTGTCCTTGTCTGCTCCTTTGATTAGAGGAACCGGTTTACTGAATCGGTTTGGTTGAACTGGTTCAACTGGCTCTGGCTATTACAATTTAAACCCCTGAGAATTAACATAAACACAAATAAGCATGGCTGCATGACATCTAAAAATTCGGTTGCCTGTAAGGACTAATGGCGCTTTCTCTGCATTATGTTGTCACGATGTGAATTTAAATTTGGTAATGTCAATACTGGGGAGTCTCGGTGGTGGCAAATTCTATTTAAGTACCTTGGTTCTTCTAGTCAGTTGCCAATGAAATGCTAGAAGCGTTCCCTTTGAGTTGTGATAAAACACAACTTATACCATCCTTGAAGTATTAATTGGCATAAAACCAAACGCTGTTCTGATTGTGCTAAATGGAATAAATGTTAGAACATGTAATTTATTTACTTTTGGAACGTTAATAAAAGAAATTCTACCACTTTTCTACTTTTAACAAAGTTCTCATATAAATTGAAAACATTTGGCGAGTAACATTTTCACAAACCTAACCAGTCAGTACAAGTTATTTGAACTATTTTTTCTATTGGACTACAGCAGCATAAAATTTTCTTGAATAATATTTCTAGATTAACAAATCAATAAATTTAATAGGTTTCTACGAAGATCAATAAATTGATTTCTTTCAGTTTGTAATCTTGTGAAATTTTTGAAATTTATTTATTTATTTAGTGCAATGTTTTCTGCTTGCTCTAGCACACTTATCATGTTTAACCCATATTATAATCTGAACCAAGGCACCAATTATTTCTGGAAGAGAGCCATTGGCCACTATGGAGGAAAGGAAATTGGGCTTGGAGAGATCTGCAGAACTTAGTGCAAAAGTCAATCAGGTACGTATCTACTATGGGATTGTCCAGTGCAAATTTTTTATGTGGATTATGCCATAGTAAGTCAATGGATTAAGCATTCCCCCTTTTTTAATCATGAACTTTGCTAACTTGGAAAGTAGTTCGCTACCTACGATTAGTCAGCTCTTTTCAGTGCCTGTTGTTTTGCAAACGAATAAGTTTATTCTAAGATTTTGTTGTGGTTCGTTTCTAAGCACTGTTCGTATTGTGCAGTTTATATTGAGAAGGACAAATGCTTTGTTATCAAATCACTTGCCACCTAAGGTATGTAATAGAACTTTTGAACATATAAACTTGTTAAATACTGATATTTTGCTATTGTAACCCATGCATTGAGTTGGATATCTAACGTCATGGAGGTGATATCCAAGTGAGTTTTAAGATCACTTTGCCAAGATTTAGCTCTTTGCTAATGAACCAATGCGTCAACTTTTATACAGTTCTTGATGTAGGGAAGGTAAAAATGTGGAACCTGTTGGGATTTAGGATAGAAAGTAGATGAAAAAGGTTGGGAAGAGAAAGAGAAGTGAATTCTCAAGCTATATTGCTGAATCCTTAAAGCTTCTGAATAGCTAAATCCTCAAAGTAGGTTGTGTTGATTGTTAAGTTCTCAAAACACGAAGGAATAGCTAAGCCAGCTAAACTTTTAGCTTAAGGAATTTTTATTGAACTCGGAAAAAAACTTGGTTTTGTTTGACATATAGCCTAAGAATTTAAGGTTCAATTATCCTTACTCGTTAAAATTACAAAAATTGATGTAAACAAAGAACAATTAATTCCTATTTAATTCAAATTGTTAATAAATGAAGTTTTTATCACTCCTGATCATCAAGCAATTAAATGTGTAGATTGAATAATTATTACTGTAAATATTTTCTCCAATGGGCAATTTAACTTTTAATAAAACCTTAATTACTTCATTCTCTTCTGATTCTTTAACCCTTATTTAACATTTATTTCCATTGATTTCATCATGTGCAACTTAATTTAGGGCAAAAATAATTATAAATAAAAAAAATGTTAAATCACTTTGTTGGTCCGTAATTGTGCTTTTTTATCTGATATTTTCAAAATCAACAACTTTGGTCTATAGCATATGTTTAGTACATGAAGCAATTGTTTAGAGGGAAATTCAATTTCTATTGTAATCAATGGGATCATTACATATATATACATTATAGGAGAATAAACAGAAAAAGGAAAGACATTTAATCTAAGTAATTATAATAAATAGAAGAGGAAAGACATTTAATCTAATTAATTATAATAATCATATCCCACAGATCTGCAATTGAGCCCACAAATTGCTGCTCATGGATTGCTGACATGGCCCCCCCTTGGCTATGTGATTCAACATCCCACGGATCTTCAACAACAACCCACATATTTTTGCCCACAGATTGCTGATGTGCCCTTCTGGCTGCGTGATTTAACACTCCCTCTCATGTTGGGTTTTACAGGTTGTACAATCCTAACTTGCAAACAAACTTATCAAGTAGAGAGCCAAGTAGTGCCTTTGTTAGAACATCGATAAGTTGTTAATGAGTTGGGTATATACTATTTCAATTTTTGAGTTCTCGATTTTCTCAGATATAAATTTTCTATTAATAATAACATGTTTTGTTCTATCGTGATATACTAGATCTTTGGCCATACTGATTGCGGCTTGATTGTAACATTTCAACTTTATCGTGCTTCAATTTTTATTCCAAGTTCAATCAATACTTGTTTGATCTAAGGGTACAACCGAGCCAAGTCGGTCTAGACTCGTTAACGAGCTCGACGAGCCGAGCTTATCGAGCTCGTGAGTCGAGCTCGAGCTCGAAAGGGTTGCTCGACTCGATGGCCCGTCGAGTAGCTCGAACACGATCAGCGACGGATGCGGGCAGCGACGGAGCAGTGACGGACGCGGGCAGCGACTTTGCCGATCAGCGACGCGAGCAACGACGGACGAGCAGCGACGCGAGCAACTCCGGCCAGCGACGCGTACACAGGACTGCTCGACGCGACACAAACACAGGGCTTCTCAACGCGATCAGTGAACGCGGGCACGCGAGTTAGAGCTCGAATCGCCGCTCAAGAGCTCGACGAGCTTTTTTTTCTGTCGAGTCGAGCTCGAGCTTGACTTTTGAGCTCGACTCGAGTTCGAGCTCGACATTTGACAGACGAGCTCGGCTCGAACAACCTTGACTTGAGCTCGACTCGACTCGTTTGCACCCCTAGTCTGATCCAAATACCTTCACAAATACTCAAATAGTAATCGCTAATGCTCTCAGTTCAGATTCTGCAATGCTTTTGGAAACAACATATTATTTCTTGCTCCATGTCACTTGGTTCCCCCACACAAATGAACAATATCCGATCGACTATCAACCTGACTTCCTGCCCAATCTGCATCAAAATAAATAATCAATTTCCTATCTTCATTTTTCTTGAATAATAGCCCATTTCCAAGAGTGATCTTGAGAGATCTCAAGATTTGATTTACTGTCTCCATTAGGGGTGTCAAAACTTGATCACATTGCTAGGCATGGGGATACGTGGGAGGCTTACCTGGATCATGCTGATCTCCTTCCCTATTTGGGTGACTAATTTAGGAAGGATTATATTTGTACAATTATGCATTATTCTCTAATTATTTGTTTCCTTATCAAGATATCTTATACATATCTATAAATAGGGATAGTTTTATGTAATAAAACTAAGCCTTTTTCCTCTCTAATTATATGAAATTTAACATGGTATCAGAGCCTTGAATCGAAGGAAGCAGAGAGGAACAATCGGTCTTCATTGCCGAAAATATGAGGAATATAGGTTCCCACTATCAACATTATGAGAAATATAGGTACCCACCATCGACCTTCATTGTCAGAATTTGAGGAACACTGGGTCTTTCACTGGCCTAAATTGCCGAAATTTGAGGAAACTGGGCCTTCTACTAGCATTCATTGCCAAAATTCTGAGAAAAATTGGTCATTCTATAGGCCTTCATTGCAGGAAAATATGAGGAATAATGGTTCTTCCACCAGCCTTCGTTGTCGGAATCACTAGGATATACGAATTGAAGGAAGCGGAAATGAACAAGCGCCTTCATTGCCATTTAAGATCGAACAATAGTTGAGCAGTCTAAACCATTCGTGCATGCGGCTAGAAGAAGCAGAGATGAGAGTCTCTCGTATGGACCTGGGGGCTAAACCGAGTGAAGAAGAGGATGGAGCAAGGGAGCAAAAAGGATCGAGCGACTCCCTGTGAACTTGAAGCCGAGCGAACAAAGAAGTTGATGTGACCTAGGATTCGATTGAGCAGAATGATTGTGCAAGGGACTTGCGCCTTTGACTTTTGCGTGCGCTTTATGTCAAGCCGAGCAGTCCGTTCCCTGTGTGTGACCGAAAGCTTTGTCTTCACTTCCCGGGGCCGATCAAACATGAGTCTGTTTGGGTGGAGTTGGACAACTTATTTGCATTAGGCCAAAGGATGGCTCAATTGGACTGGAGGAGATCTGCATTCCTAGTGCTGAGCCACTTGAGACATGTTTTTTATGATGCTATCACTGAAGCTTGTCGATACTATCATGCCTTCATTATCGGCCTTCCCTCGAGAACCGAGAAGGAGACAAACCCGAAGGATAATTAATCCACCTTTTATGTTGTCCCACCACCGATCTTTATTGTCATTTTTGGTATCTTGAGGGCTACTGTTCAACGCAGCCTTCTTTGCTGCGTTGCACTTTGCAGGTTTGATTGATATAGCCTTCATCGCTATCCGTTGTCGTTGTAATGTTTGAAGCTAATTCCTCCCAAAGGTTTGACTAAATGGAGGACTCTATGGTGCACCATTGGACTTGATAACTCTACTTTTATAGGACTAATTACCAAGTTGGGATTGACATATCTATATTTTCCAGCTTGAGGGGAAGTGATAAAAATCTCAATTGTCCCTTGGCCCTTAATCCTACAGCCAGCATGAGGATATGTGGGAGGCTCATATGGATAACGTTGTTCTTTAGCCCTTGATCACACAGTCACCATGGGGATCCGTGGGATGCTCACTTGGATCATGCCAATCTCCTTCCCTATTTGGGTGGCTGATTTAGGAAGGATTATATTAGTACAATTATGCATTATTATCTAATTATTTGTTTCCTTATCAAGACATTTTGTATAAATCTATAAATAAGGATAGTTTTATATAATGAAATTAAGCCTTTCCTCTCCAATTATATGAAGTTTAACAATATTTACCAAAACTTTGGGTACACTTTAATTTTCCAAGCCATGCAATAAGCGGGATCCAATTGATATATGCTCTAATTTGATGAGTGTTGGCATAGCAAATATTATTTTAGGAAACTTTCTGAATGTAGCTGCTGGAGTTTTTTCAAGTGTACCTTAGCTTATTGTATTATTTCCTCTACTATAAATAGATGGGTTTTTTATTAAATAATATACAAAAAGTCATTTTTCCTCGAACATTTTTATTTTAATTTAATTTAAAATGTAATAAGGATGATGATGTCTAATCCTTAATTAATGTTTACTATTTTATTTCATAGGACTTCATATGCGTCAAATTTTATTATTCATTGGATTATTGAAATTATGGACAATTCATGCAAATTTTGTTTTGGCTTTCCATATTTTCTTGTTTTGGGCTTTTAAGAATTCAACGTGAGAATTTGGCATCAACAACTATTTTGATCTTTTAATTTCTTTATTTTATTTTTCTGCGGATTTCTATAATTCCATTGTGTACCGTGCATCACGAAGCCTTTTTTTTATGAAAAAATAAAAAGAAGAGCTCAGAGTTACACAAATATTTTGACATAAAAAGTGAAAAAGTTAAATCCAGGTAAGTATATGCCTATTTAAAAAGCTGGGAGCCTGATCTTCAAGGCGCTTAATAGTTACAGAGTTTTGGATTATTTCACTGTTTTGCTGAACTATGTTCTACTTACAAATCCAGAAAAGATGAACAAATGCAATGATAAGCCTCTGAAAACATGCGATCCACATAATATTATATGCTTGACAATTATTATCGAGATCAAAGGTATCTCAAACAAAGTTTATATACTTTCAGGTGTACCATTTCTGTTCTTTATAGTTCTTTTTCTTGTTCATGCCCTTTACAAATGTGTTTAAAATAGTTATCTTGTTCTGGAAACACTTTTTTTTTATTATAATTTAGTTTCCCTAATTTCATTTAAGCAAACTACTTTATAGTTGTGTTTTATGCTGTTTAATTGTAGATAGTGGAAGTAGTGTGTTGCAAGCTCACCCCCTTGCAGATTCAACTGTACAAGCATTTCATTCAATCAAAAAATGTGAGACTTGACTTCTATCTACCTGATAATTTTACTATTCTATGGCTATAAGATGGTTTCTGAAATATTGTTAGTATCTATAGATTAAGCGCGTAATTGCTGAAGAATTAAAGCAATCCACCATTTTGGCCTATATTACAGCACTTAAAAAACTTTGCAATCACCCTAAGGTATGCTTTCTAAGAATTTTTGTTTAATTAATTTCTTATATATTGATTTTCATGTGACCCTTTTTTAGAATTTATGATGATATGTGCCATCCCAGTTGCTACTATTGAACATTCTATCATGCGGAAATTCACAAATAGGCTATTTGGTTGGTTGTAAAGTGAATACAATGTAAAGTAAATGTAGTGTAGAGTAAATATTTTGGGCAGTTTGGTTGTCTGTAAAGTAAATGCAGTGAAATTATTTTTTCTGTTTGGTTTGGTGTGTGCAAAGTAAAATAAAATTAGCTGAAGGGGCATTGCTGGGGCATTACTACAAACACTTGGCATGCAAAAACTTGTAGCAATGTAGTCTTTGATGGCTGAATTAGGAAATTCTACACACCTGCTTGCTTCAGTTCGGATGAATTTCTAAAAGACAAATGAACGACAAATCTGCACAATTGCTCAAAGACAAATCAACATTTTCACACGGATTGTTCCAGTTCGGATCGCAAACTTGCATGTCCGCATCGATGGGCTGTTCATGCATGGTATCTCGAACCTGTTCGTAACTTATCTGCTCCAAAACGTGGCAAGCCATGACATCAGATTTGATCCAAAACTCGACTTCCATTTCTGGTCGGCTCTCACGGTTCGTCCCGAACTGGTATAGTCGCAATCCTTAGCACTTCGATTGCATCCCTACGGAGTTGAAGCATTGGAGTTGGGAAGCTGGGGCTTCCCCTCCAGTTCGGTCCGCACACAGAGAGGTGCGGGAAAGCAGATCCTATAGGACAAAACTTCGTCGATGGAGGTGAAGGACCTGCAACTCGTTCAAAGTCTACCTCACACGAAACATGCGAAGTCGAACATCAACGAAGAAAAGTAGAAGCGAGCGACCGTTCCTTCCGATCCAAGAGGAAGGGAATGTCGTCGGAGCGAGCGACCGTGATCCGAACAATAACGAAGTTGAAGTGAGCTTTTATGTGTCTTCCGACGGGCTTCTCTCTTGCCCGGGCGCATGTGGGCTCCGAAAATTCGGCCCCGGCCTCCACTCGCTTTTCTTTTATCTGGCGAGGGAGTTTTAACTGATAAGTTCCAGGGTAAATTTTGGAAGGCAGATGGGTTTGTAGATAAGACACTACCCAGAGATTTCGCCCTCATTTTGCGAGGACTTTATGATTTGAGTTCTGGTTTCCTATAGGCGCAAGCCCCTATAGTTAATTACCCCTCCCGATCACGAGAGAGAACTTTCGATTAAGGCTAGTCGTCAATCAGATACGTATAGAATACACGTGTTATCTGGCATATAATAGCAGCAATAGGTTTGGAATTTGGAGAACTGGATTATTGAAAGATTTGGAGATTTAGAAATTGATATTTAAAAATAGGAATTTCACCATCGTGCACTTAAAGCGGATGGTGGGGGAATGAATGATGGGCCCGATCAAGATCCCATGGT